CCGTCTTGTGGGTTAGGATCGCGAGGTGCGGTTGTGTCTGAGGCGGTGTAGGTATAAGGAAGACCTCCGTTACCGTATGGATGGCGATAGCTCACAGGAGGACCACGAGGAACTTCTGGAGCAGGCGGAGGAGGCGACAATGGCTCTTCGTTGTCGTACTCTTCTTGCTGTCGGCTCTGTTGGCGTGGTCTGGAAGCCTCACCAGCAGGTACGTCTCGTCTGTAAGAAGATGGTCTTGGAGCTAGACCTTGGGGAGCGAAATTAGAAGTGGTTGGAGAATCATAGGGACTAAAGGTAGATTCAGTAGGAGCCTCGGTGACCTGAGTTTGTAAAGAACCACGATTCGATCTGCGAACTGGGGCAGCGTCGAGCGAAGATCTACGGTCAGCATTATAGGTATAGTCGTCCGACTCAGACCTGCGGCGGGTATGGCCCGCATGGCCAGTCTGGGCGACCTTGGGCCCAGGTAACTGGCCCCAGTATGGCGTCGACATCTGAGGGTGACAGTTGATCCTCGGGGCGGTGTGATTGGACAAGCGCGTTAGAGGCGAAAAAAAGAGACGGAAAAGATGGATGTCAGGCGTTGAATCGCGCGTTACGTTGGAGCGGGAGGCGGGTAAAAGATGAGAGGCTGAAGCGAAGGTAGCGAAGCTTTGATTTCTGGGCTGTTCAGCGCTAGCAATTCAGTGGAAGGGCCGCGTAAATGGAGTTGTAGCGGGGCGCTGAGTCTAGTCTAGGGCTCATGCGAGCTGCCGGACTAGACAATGCTTTGCAGAATTGGTGTTGTTTAGCTGAGAGAGCAAAAAAAGAATTTTCCTGCAGTCTGCAGGGACCAAAAGAAAAAGTTGAGATGGCTGAGGAGGAAAGAGAAATGAAAATTCAAGGCTTTCCTGGGTCGATACGGACGATAGCAGACCCGGGAACTACCCTGTTCTGCTCTCTACCTTGGAGCCCAAGATGCCGCGGCGGTGCAGGGATTACACGTCCCTGGAGCTGTCTAAATCCATCTAAGAGCTGTTTATACCCTGGAAACTTCCCCATGCTCATCATGTTTCCCAGCCTCGAATGCAATCGTTGATCTTGTTGAGGTAAGCTTGGGCGTTGATTCTCCCCAGAACCACACTTTGCGCCGAGCACAGTCGCATCAGAAAGTCCACAAATGGGTAGCTGAAGCTACTAGCAAGGATCGAAAACTTGATATATCTCGTCTTCCTCGTCAAGTCGAGGCTGGGGATGGCTGGGGGCGGGGTGTCAGTGTCTCACCCTTGGAGCTCTTCCGAAGACCCAAAAAAGCGGGTGGCTGGCATCGGAGACACGGGACGGGCCCGGACAAGATATCCATTGAGAATGTGAGAACGGGACAATTGGGTTTTCCTACTCCGCAGGGCAATTTATATCGTTGACAGTTACACTTTTGGTGGTGGTCAATAAAGTCAAAATAAAACACTCTTTCTTCAATTGTCTTCACTTGTTAAGTTGATGAAGTCATACGTCTACAACGGCTGCTCCCGAATCTTAATACTTCAGGCCGTTGGCGCACGGAAGGGCGGGATGGCCCGAATAAACTTTGTCTCATCTTCAACTAAACAGGGAGAATATGGTAAGAGAAGTTCTCAGAATCAAACATGGTAGGAAGTCATAACTGAGAGAATGCGCTTGAAATCTTCCACCTGGATCCAATCTACAATTGTCAGACAATCACCGATCTATTTGCTTGGCAATTAATGTCGTAAACTCAATATCGGCTACTAAAAGGCTACACAAAATCTTGGGCTTACGGATACACGTTGCCCAGCCTCCCTCGATCAAAGTCTCACGGCAGTTACTGTATGTCGTTACCCGTTACGAGTTACCAGCACTTGATTGATGGATTCTCTATTGTCTCTGCAGGGTCCCTCGTGGACTTCTCGTATTCTTCAATCTCTTGATTTTCATGTTTCATCGTGAGCTCAAGCATCCTGGCCCAGTTGGTGGTTGGAAACTTTGCTCTTCATGATACACTCACTCTCATCTTCAGATCAACTTGCAATGGAGTGCACATCAGTACCTAGGAAAATGAGCATACAATGATGAACCTTTCCATAGCTGAAGTGTAACCTTAATAGTACGGGTGACAATTTTAGTTGGTGGCTGATGGCTGTGATGGATGAGAGCTGATCAATTGCTCCCACCTACTCGACATCAATTGACTTTATCGTAAAATCAATGGATTATTCCCACTTATTAGAAATCTTCGTTTTGACGGTAGAGAAGCGTCCATGACAGAAACATGGACAAGACTTGAAGGGCCTGGGGCAAAGTTCCTTCAAAAGAGTGAGATGGCAGGCGGCGGTATTCAATACAGAAAAGCTTACCTACCTAGCCTGTCTAGGTGCGAGGCATCGTGTATTTGAGATGAAGACGTCAATTGCAGTCTGTTATTGGAAGTGTCCTATTATAAGAGATCCTCGATCGTCTGCATGCTTCAGCCAGGTGCCAATTCGACACGAGTCAGAGATGCAACTAACGTCCCATACCTTGGGTTCGGAAACAACTTTGCAGAATGAGGCCCGAAACACTAATGCATTACAGCTCGACGATCAGGGACCACATTCTCCGAAGTACCATTTCGAAAAGAAACATCATCGAAGCTATTGCTACAGCCTGGGGAGCTTGCAGACATTGGCGTTTTCGCGCTTTATAGCCTGACAGTTCATAACGTTGAAAGCCTGAACAACATCTGGCAGATATCTTGGGACGAACATAGGGTAAGGCAATCCTAAGCTTTAGGATCCTTGGAGTAACTTATCCTAAAGCATGCTAAACTTAGGACTGCTCTCAAAGTGGTGACAGTTCCGCAGGTTTAGTTCCGACCATACGATGGATGAGAGGAACCAATGCAGACTCCATCACCAACAGTGAGGGGTTCATCACACAATTTGGGGGTCACAGACAAGGGATTGCATCTTAATGGTGTAATGATTTGATCCCGTTTCTACTAATCTTATCTGATCATAAAGATCAGATCCACCCGGCAGTTCGATCCTACCCTGACTGCGACTTCCGCAACACCACACCAAATCCCACTCAACACCAAGACTGTTTTGTTTATTAAAATATCCGAGCAAATATCGGTCTCAATAATCGAGGAAAATCAGCAAAACTTCAAAAAGAAGCTGATGGGCACTGAGAGACAATGCTCCCGCCAGGGCTTGAACCTGAGACCTTCGCATTACCGGATACTCGGGTTGAAGTATTAGTACGACGCTCTAACCAACTGAGCTACGGAAGCCGATCAGCTGTTGCGGTTGTGATCCGCTGTTGTGGTGCTGGGGTGGAAGGAGGATCTATGAGGTGCTGGCTTTTGCCTAAAACTACCCTGAAGACAAATGTCAAACATCATAATGTTCATGACACTGCCATGATTGTCTTGAAATCTTTGCAGATTGGTTGTGATTAATTGCATTCCTCTCAAAATTGCCAATAGAAAATTAAAAGGCCTCGCATTGTAATGTTCAGATGTAACCTTTATAAACTCCAAGATCCAATTGCAGCAATAAACATGACGACTCCCAACTAACCGCGACCACAAATATCAGGTAGATACACTACCATGTTAGGCTCCACCATGATTTCTCAGGCTCAGGCCCAGGCACCGGATTCACCCATCCTTTGGCTTTCTGCCAGGTTTGTTGCCCCGAGGTGGTATAAAGAACCCACAAGCAGATCAATATAGTGACCATTATGACCAGGGCAGCGTTGCGTGGTGCGCAATTTCTATCCCGCAGCTTCTTGATGTAGTCTGGCAAGCTAATGAAAGCCCTGTTCTCATCATGCTCTTCTTGTAATCCATGGTAATGCACCGCATGTGGCTCCATCATTCTGTAAGAGTCAATGCCCTCGACATTCACTTCCTTTGGATATGGCCGGTATCGAATGATCTCTGGAATGACCGATATCTTGACTCTAGCCATGGAGCTTATTTGCTTTCTTTCAGGTCTGTGTTCTTGTAACCGCATGCCTTGCTGCTGAGCTGCTTCCTTTGAAGCTTCGTACGCCGGTTGACAGGTACTCACTTGGTCCAGTGCGTGCAGCTCACCAGGTATGAGCCAGTTGATCGAGACGATGGCTGATGACATGCGAAGTCCTACACTGAGCCAACCTGCGTATGAAATCACGTCATGCAGTACCTGATATAACTCTGTTCTGGAAATGGGTTCGTAACCGTCAAAACTGGCCGTGAACTCGTAGACATGGAGCAGCAGAAGGTAAACCTCCGTGGTTAACTTGTCGACCTCTCTCCAAAACAAGTCGGGCTCCCCTCTGCTCATTTTAAGCCAAGCTCTATTGGTATGGGCTCGGAGTTCGCTACGTTGGAAACCTCCAAGAACATTAGTGGCGCTGCTCCTGTATTGCGTTGCATTACATACCTTCTGCATTGATGAGCGCAACATCGGAATTATGCAATGTCTCATCATGCTTGGATCCGGCTCCGAATAGCAGCCGTGAAAACACTCGATTGTCGAGAGCCTTGAAAATGATAGCTTGAAGGAGGTTCGTCCTCTCTCCGCTATCACGAAGAAGTCTCTCCCATTTTCCTGCACGTGCGTCCATATGAGCTACAAGCTCAACATGTCTGATGAATTCTTCTGGATAGTCTCTTAACCACGGAGACGTCCGAGGAGCCTGGTGTTCCTGTTTGGGGGAGAATGCTGATAACACAATGGTACAGATCTCAGCACCAAGACGTCTGAAGTGATATTCGTAAAAATTGCTTGGTAATTCCAAGTCTGAACAAAATGACGCAAAGTCAAGACTGCGGCGTACGGGACTATATGACCTGAACTCCCGCATTCTGTATGTAGTACAACAAAGAACAGAAACGTGTTGAGTTAAAACGTTGAGAAGGAATGAAGGAAGAAACAGCTGATCCAGCAGAGTGTAAGCGATGATAAACAATTAAACAAAAGAGTGTGTAAATGAAGGACAGATCGAACGAGACAAAAGTTGGTGTTGGGTATTTATCGAAAAGATGATGATCTGAAAGACGACGAAGAGCTTGATCCTCCAGGAAGGGCAGCGAGGAAGGTGAAGCCCGAGCTGATTGTTAGAAGAGAACTACTTCGAGTCTTGCCCTTGGGGGCATTGTCCTTTGTCTTGCAAGCATCTTTCTCAAAGGAGGTGGCTACTGTCTCTGGCTCCATGATGGTAATTTTAGTTGGTAGTAGATTGAGTGATTGAGGTTTGGACACAGTAAAAGAAGAGGCACAAAGAGTTGGTCTGAGAGGGTGTGTTGGTGAGGGGAACTCCTTTGTCCTTGATGGGAAAGACGGACTTGTTATAAGTTGGTGCATCTATATATGGATATCAGGTCGACCATGAACGAAAAGGTCCGGCATACCAACCCTGGTCAGCCCACGGTTGATCGCACAGGTCTCGGATGATGGCTCATGAGCATGAGGGGCTCACAGACACACCAAGGGACCCGTGGGGTCGCGATGGTGTGGGATGAAATCGAGGTTGTGAGGCGTGTTCACATTCCAGAGTGGCATAGCCAGTACCTGCGCTCCTGCAGGACCACCTAGCGTGTCTCTGGCGATCATTTGGGACAAGGTCATGGTGTAGAGTACGTAATGAAGCGGGTGCACACCAGTTGTCAGTCCCTTTGTGGGACGAGGAATATTCGTAAGGCCAATGAAGTTGGGAAACGTCAAAGGGAAATCCCGCTCCATCAGCCCAAGATCGACTGTGAATGGTGAACGTGGTTCAAGGTGGGTGACCATTGAGGCTTAATTGCAGCTGTGGATGATCGTTGGCGCCTCGAACGCCTCGCTTCAAGGGAGAAGTGACGCAGCAATGTTAAAGTTGGCACAAGTTGGCCAGAGCAGAGCTTCTGACTGGATGAATACAATTGTATGAAACCGCCTTTGCCGTTTATATCTGACTGTGTTGTTCCTTTGTCCTTGATGTTTTAGCCCCATGTGTCTTATTCGAATGTGGCTGTTGGCACACTTGACCAGGGTTAGAGAAATGTCTAGATCCCAGCCTACATGAGAAATGGTGCGAGGGACAAACGACTCAAAAACGTAAAGAGGTTTGGGTTGAACCGTTTGAGGTGGAGGCATGAATGGGGGTCATGAAGTTCAACTGATAACCCGGATTCATCCATGCCAGGAGATCATACCAAGTATAACAGCGCATTGTAATATTCGACAAGCCAATGGCATATCAGCATGGCATTTATGAGCCCTCAAAAGCTCATATAGGCTCACTTTCAAGAGCAAATTTGTACACCATTTTCCACATTGAATATGCGCGTGACTGAAAACACTGCGTCATATGCAGTTGAGTTGCATTAAACTCTCGAGGCCCGATAGACGCTAGTTGACAGTCAGGTTCATACCAGCTCGATTTGTGGATATGTTGTTTGAATGTCATTGCAAGTATTGTTGAAACACTAACCAAGAGAGGGTATTTTCTCCTGAGAAACACCCTGTGCGATTTCAGTTCCCCCTCTTGACCTTGGCATAAAAATATCCAGTGTCAGCCTCCCATAATTGATAAACTTACTAGGAATATTTGGGAGCAAATCATTAGGCCCAGGAACATGGGATCGGATATAGACACAAAGTTGGGGCAAAGAGGGATCTTGCTTGGCACGTGAGGCCCATGTTGAAACAAGAGAAGGTTCAATGATACCTGCAGCTTCATTGTAGCCCTGTCATTGTCCCTTGCAAATTAATGCGAATAGCTGGCTATTAAGGAGTTGAATAGGAAATGTGAGATTCGTTTGACTTGTGAAACGTTAGAGGATGAAGCAAGCCAGAGGCAAAGACGTGCGGCCTCAATTTTCAGGCAGAAGCCAGGTCCCTTCAGGCACCGTAACCAGGGCGCTTGCCAAACTCAAAGTTAAGCAGTTTTAGGTCAGCACCCAAGAATTTTTGCTTGCGCCTCGCGACACAAACCAAACCCAACAGGCGCATTTCGCACCTTCCGACAACGTCAAATTCGACTATTACTCCTTCTCTCTCTACCGCTATTCGCGACTCTTGCCTGGTGCAAAGTTGCAAACAAACTCTCCACGAAAGGAAGGAATTGCTTTGAAATTGAACTTTCATTTTCACTGCTTCTCGCCCCACTTCTGAATCTCCTGCTTCCACTTCTTTTGCCTCTACTCTATTGTCTCTGCCCCGCGATCTTTCATCCGCGAAACCCTTCATCTTCCACCACGACCCTGCAGACAGAAGCCCAACAAAATGGCCGCCGCTGTAGCTGACACCCCCAAGATGGACGAGCAGGTCGACCTCACCACCATCCCCGTCGACCCCGCTGGCAAGGAGGATTCTTCCGATGTCAAGGACGACGACAAGCCTGTCACCGTTTTCCACGACAAGGACAACTTCAACGTGAAGCACCCTCTTCAGAACAAGTGGACTCTCTGGTTCACAAAGCCCCCGAGTGGCAAGGTGCGAAACAACATACTTTTACCGCCGAACTCGGACACTAATACTTGTGATAGGGCGACAACTGGAACGATCTCCTAAAGGAAGTTATTACCTTCGACTCCGTTGAGGAATTTTGGGGCGTTTACGTGAGTCACCAACCCGACCTCAAATCTTCCGCATCCTAATTTTTTCTAAATAGAATAATGTCGCACCCGTTTCCGAGCTTTCCCTCAAGTCCGACTACCATCTCTTCAAGGCTGGCGTCCGCCCCGAGTGGGAGGACCCCCAGAATAAGCACGGTGGCAAGTGGTCTTACCAGTACAAGGATAAGCGAAACATCGATGTCGACCGTCTTTGGCTTCAGGTCATGATGGCCGCTATCGGCGAGACTCTCGAGGATGAGGACGATGGCGAGGTCATGGGTGTAGTTGTCAACGTTCGAAAGGCCTTCTTCCGAATTGGTGTCTGGACTCGTACCATCGGAAAGAGCATCCCCGGCCGAGGTGAGGGTGATGTCGCTGGTGGCAAGGGCCGCAGCGGTGAGAAGGGTAAGGAGATTCTCCTGTCTATTGGCCGCAGGTTCAAGGAGGTTCTCGAGCTGCCTGCCTCAGAGCAGGTTGAGTTCTCTGGACACACCGACAGCGCCCACTCGGGCAGCACACGAGCCAAGGCTAAGCACGTTGTTTAAACGTGCGAGGATTTACGCAGAGGCACGACGTTGATTTAGCACGATATCCGATAATGACCATTTCACGTTTCTGAACCTGACGCCGTTCATCTGGCGATTCACGAGAGGTCGACGAGTTGTTGAAGCAGAAGCGGGACAGCAAGGATTGAGCGGCGACTGGCTTGAACCGGGACATGTGAACCGCTCAGTCAGCCTGGCCACGAGTCATCCTTAATTTCATTTGGCTCAATGTTCTATTGGCGTTGCTTGGACGGGCTGTTTCCCAAGTGGCATCCACGAAGTATGAAAAAGGGCCACCCAAGGAGGGGAAAGGAAAATAGATTTTTGTACTTTCGAACAACTGTAATCAGTTGCTTCGCATGAATACTTGCTAGGCATACTCAATTGCTACTAACTCGATGAAACAATACTCGCATATATTTGGTGAAATGTGGGTTACTGGAGTGATTATAAAGTTTCATATCTTACACTTTTTACTTTTTCAATGGAAGTCGATTAAATCAACTCTCATCCCCGCTGATATCGTCGGGGAAGATGCTCTTGACCAATTGCTTCTTGTTGATCTTGCCCATAGCATTTCGGGGTATTTGATCAACAAGTCGCATAACCTGGGGGATCTTATAACTTGCCAAGCGTCCCTTGAGGGCCCTTCGCATGTCGAGGGCCGACCACTTCTTGACAACGTCTTTATCTAGAACCAGGACAGCGCCGACCTTGTGACCCCATTGCCCACTAGGCACAGCCACGACAGCTGCTTCGGCGACCTCGGGGATGGATAATAGCTCTCGCTCGACTTCTAGAGCGCTTACCTTTTCGCCCCCTGTCTTGATGATATCAGCGGACTTGCGTCCTTGGATGAAGTAAAGGGGGCCATGTGTCCATGACTGGGAAGCGATGGCGGAGGAGACTGGACGGCGGACAGCTACGTCGCCTGTCTTGAACCATTTCCCCTCTCCGTCTGAATCTTCGACGAATTCGCTCGCTGTTGCGGCCGGATTGCGCCAGTACTCGCGGAAGATGGTTGGGCCTCTTAGCTGAATCTCACCAGAGCGCTCGCGGCCTTGAGCATTGATTTCTTCTCCTTCTTTGATAATTTCACCGTTGTCGACATCGACTAGACGAGCTTCAACGGACGGTAGTGGCCAGCCAACACTGGCATCTACACGATCTGAAAAGTCAAGACCGCAGCTGAGCGCCATACCGACCTCGGTCATACCATAACGCTCAAGGAGGACATTGCCACGGCTGAGATCTTTCCAGGCGGTCTTGATAGGCGTTGGGAGTGCGGCGGACCCAGAGATGGAGAGGCGCATGTTCTCTGGAGAGATGGCTTTGCGGGCGGCTTCTTGAGTTTCTTGAGGGATACTCTTGTATGAAGTGAGTAGCCTGCTATACACCGTGGGTACGACTGTGAAGAATGTGATTTTCTCTTTAGGGGTAGAGGACTCATTGTCGAGAAAGGGCGCTGAGAAACGCTTCCATACAGCATCAGCGTTGAATGGGAACATGAACTCGATTGTTGAGCCGGCGAGGAGCGGTGTAAGGATGGCGTTAACAGTTCCGTGGATGTGATGAAGCGGGAGGACGTGGAGGAGATGGTCTGAGGGTGAGTAGTTCCAGGCCTCAACGAGGGAGCGAGATTGCGCTGTCAAGACCGATTGGGGGAGCAGTACTCCTTTCTAAGCCGAGGTTTTAGCACATGGAGCCATTGAAGCATCATGAGCAGACTTACGGGTTTATTGGTCGTTCCCGAAGTATACAGCATCATACCAGCTTCACCAGCATCGGTATTGTTCAGTTGCACCTTGTCATGATTACCCCCACCTTGATGCTTCTGAAGTTCTACATGCGCCGGCTGGGTTGTGAGTTCAGTCGCAAGAACCTCCTTGGCCTTGGATGCGAACTTTGGCGAGGATACTAGTAGTGAAGCTTCACTCTGGTTGAGAATGTATTGTAGCTCTGGCGCAGGGAATGCAGGTGATAGAGGCACGGCGATAGATCGCGCAGCCATTGCGGCCAAGAGTGTTACTATGCAAGCACATGTCAATGGCTGTCGCAATGCGATATCACGAGGTCACGTCATGAGCTCACCTACGTAGTCATAACTATTCTCAACCAGGAACGCAATGCGCTCGCCATTGAGGTCCTCACGACCAGCAGCTTCGGCCAGCCTGTCCCGTGCGCGACTAACATCACCTAGAAGCTCTCCATACTTGAAGGTCCGACCGGAAAGAGAGTGGATAACAGCTTTCGAATCTGGATCATGTTGTGCAACAGCTTCGAAGAGCGGTAAGCGTGGTAAGGTCGAGAGCATTCTAGCAGCGGGACGGAGGGTAATGAAGGAAGCGGAGGTAGCAGTAGACGGGCGCCGGACGGCGGAGGTGACGAGATGTCGGAGGAGCGACATGACGAACAAATTCAAGGCCCCGAAGCGCCGGGGTTTGACGACAAGGATTCAAGAATTTAGAGAGGCCAATCCGGAGTCTTCGCTGTGCAGACTTGGTCTTTGAATGCTACGTTGAGGTGTGGTTCAACGGCGCATTTGCCGAGGCATGCACTGGGGAGGGGAAGAAGGAGGGAATAGGATTTAGGGATTGACGATCCCGCTGAAGCATGAGCATGAGTTAATTGAAATCGACAGCTGAATTTAGAAATGGAGTTGCGTGCGTTGTGAAGCAAAAGCTCCAACGTCCTGTGCTAAAGTGGGTTGGCTCTTTGACGTAAATGGGGTCAAGTCTTCGGCCCACGGTCCCGGACGGACGGCCGTCTTCCCCGGAGGTACGTACCCTTTAGAAGCCGCGCCGAACAGTTTTGAGGAGCTAACAGAAAGTAAAGGTGCACATTTTTTGAGGGAGAGGGTGAAGAGCGAGTCGAAAGTGAAGCCAATAAGCAGCGCCTCTTTTGTTTACGGACGAGTATCGGCAGCTAGAGATGCGTCCGCGTGTGTTTTTAGCTGGGAGGCTTAAGGAACCGTTCGACTGCAATGCAACACAAGCGTTGTACATGTACGTACGTATCCGTACAGGCCCAACAGTCGAGATGAAAGTACGGCACAGTACAGTAGGTACATACATGATCCTTCTCCCTGTCCTGTCTTGAGTCGAGTGGGAGACAGGGAAGACACTGGTTTGTTGTGCTGGGCTGTTATGGTTGAACGCTGGCCTCATCAACAACTCACAGGTCAAAGACGAATACGTGAATGAGTGGATTGCATATTTGACATCTTTTTTTCCTTCTCTCTAAACAAACCCCGGACCTTAACTTTTAACGCTACCTAACTTTGACTACCTATGGAGCCAATCCACGAGACCGCTATCGCACCGCACCAGATCCCGCCTGTTTGGGCCCGTACCTACAGCAAAGCTCCAACAGCTCCAGTGACAAGATCCACTGTGTATGCTGTCAAGTCTGCAGCCGGGGTGTGGTATATGTCATTGGGATGTATAGTAACGCTGCTGGTCTACTAGGCAGTCTATCATGAGTCGAAGGTTGACTCTCTTGCTTTGTCGTGGCATTCTATTATTTGCAATGATCAGACTGGTCAGAGAAACAAGAGAAAAGAGAGAGTCACAGAGAGAGAGACGAAAGAGAACAGGGGTTCGTAGTTCGTAACCCTTGTTCCTGGCTTCACCGCTCTAGAAGCCAGGCGGTCAGGGCCAGCCGACGCCCGACCCAACCGTCTGGACGGACACGCAGATTGGCGGCTGATCATTTGCTAAAAAGAGGCCTTCAGGGGTGTTGCACTGTAGGGATGTGATGCGATGTGATGGATCGAAAAACTTGTCCGCCACTTTGGCTCATGGAAAGACGGTAAAAATGTACAGTACCAGATGCCCCGCGCTTTTCACAGTAGAAGGAATAACGAACATGTTTAGAAGGGGGGGCCTGTACCGTACCGTACAGTACATCTCTCTGTGACCTGGTGGCTTTCTGTCTTTGCTTCTGCTTGTTCCTTTTTGCTTGTTGTTTTCCACACCGACTTCACACCGAAACGGGATAACGGCTCCCTGAGTTGTCAATTTCACAAATCACAATCAGTGTATGCGTTTTTGTTTTTTTTTTCACGAAAGAGTTAACGTGTTCCGCCACTTTTAGATACCTACCTACCTTGCTTTAGGTACTAATCCATAGAATGTACTGTACATGCCTAGTCCAAGCTTCTTTAGATCCCATATCTTGAAACGTATATCAGTTTGTCCTGCCCGCCTCTTCCAACGTGTATTTCCAACCTTTCACTTTCCGTCTCGTCTCGTCTGCTCGCTCTACTCAAAGTTTCTTGTTTCCTATTTTCTCGCTTTTGACTTCCTGTTTCTGCTTTTCAGTTGTCACGTCACAGTGTGCCAGGTTGTTGTTATTTTTGGGGGCAGCAATAGCCAGTGCCAGACCGATAACCTAAAGCTTAAAGAGGCGGACAAACCGACAACTCGGGAACCTCATTAAAAAACCTACTTCACCTCCCTCCCACCAGCCAAAAGCCAACCAGAGCCTTTCGTGTTGCCCTGTCGATCCATTATCGCTCCACTTGGGATCCGGACAAGAAAGATTCTATTCTTCTTATATCGCCCGCGAATTCCGAATTGACCTCAACTCAATTCGTTTTTTAAATAGTCGCATCTGTATCGCCTTTGTCGACTCTATCTAGTTTCAGTCGACATTGCGCAAACTGTATTCGGACGTCGCTACGTTCTTCTATTTTCAGACCGCCATACCTCATGTTTCGACGATACGCGCTCGGCTTTTCGAGCGTCCAGCGACAGCTCTCAACCATGAGCAACTCCAACACTCCCGTTGAGGATCTTATTCGAGCAAAGGTGAGATCTCAATATGTACATTTGACGAAACCACCCACTGACTTATGTCCTTTAGATCACGGCAGCCTTCAATCCCCAAACTCTCGAGATCTACAATGACTCTCATCTTCACTCTCACCACAAGGCCATGGAACACACTACCTCCAGCGAGACACACTTTCGGTAAGAATTGCGCTCTTTGTCACCGTCAACCGATTTCTGTGCAACCTCCTTTTCTCATCTCATCTCATCTCAATTTGGAATCATATCATGTCGCCTCATCTCATCTCATCTCATCCCGCGTGACACTCTTGTCATGCAATGCAGTCTCTTGTACCCCATACTCACTCACACCCTTCCTCGCTCACCCACACCGTTCTTCTGCACATGCCCCGGTCAACCCAACTTCACAATCAAGATGCAATGCATACTAACACGTGACAGCGTGGTCATCACCTCTGACGCTTTCAACTCCAAGATGCAGCCTGCCCGTCACCGCATGGTCTACGCCCTTCTCCGCGATGAGATGGCCCAGGAGAACGGCATCCACGCCCTCCAGCTGCGCACCATGACTCCCGAGGAAGAAGCCCGCCAAAGGAAGAAGAAGGAAGACGAAGCCGCTGCCCGTGCCGCCCGAGCTGAAGCCGAGGAAGAGTGAAAATAGCACTCTCCTCGCCAGCAAAAAAAGACACGAAAACAAAAACCATAATGACCGCTAATGACAGAATGACGACCTCAAGGCTTAACAACACCGGGATTTCTTTTTTTTTTTTTTTTACCCTTACTCTCAGCAAAACCAAAAACATCACCAATTTGGGAACAGCAGAAAAAAAAAAAAGGAACAAAGGCGAAAAGGGATGGGCAGCGAGAGTAGTTCGTGCCACGGAGTGAAGACGCAAACAAAATTGATTGGGACCAAAAATTGAAACAAGATTGTATGATACCCCCCTTCGTGGAAATGAGACGACGACTGGCAGTGGGGGCGAAGATAAATCTTGTTCTTGTTACACGGAATGATGGGAGATTGAAGTTGAGTATCTTGACGAGGAAAGGCAACTGGACACCAAGGACTCTATTTCTTTTCTAATACTTCTCCCATGTTCTGCATCGTCGCCATGCTGTCAGTTCATTAATTAAGCCAGGTTCTCAGTCGAACCAGCTACCTAGCTTACCATAGAAATGTTGCCCACGCACAATAGACTGTTCTTTCCGCCACCGAACAATTTCTTTTCATGCAATTGAGTCTATGGACCTTTCCCGGCCGGTGATAATTGATAATATAATACTATACAGTCATGAGAATGTTGCTGACGGCAGTTCTGCAGGTCCAACAACAATTTTGGGTATCAGATATAACATAAAACAAACGCTTTAGCCTCCCCGAAAGTTTCGATCGTCAACATTACTGTCACTTAACGTAATCTCGATCCCAGCGCCTTTCCCGATTCGCGATTCTATTCAAACCGGCCACTGCTGCTTCGACGATCCTGCGCCCCTGTTCCCTTCGATCTTCTGAAATGTTCTCGAAGCTTCTCAAGATCCTTGGCAGAACGTTTCTTTGGTGTTGCCTTCAGTAGGTCCGCAGATATCTTTTTGAAATACTGTGATGGTCGAGGAGCCGTCGACTTGATTGCTGAGCCTCCTATAGTAGATGGTGGTAACATTGAGGTATGTGGCATTTGGGGTGAAGTGGGTGGAGGAGACTGAGTCAAGATCTCTTGAACTCGTGAGGACTGGAGTGGCCTTCTCTCTGAAGCTGGATTCCGTCGTCTGATGTTCGACTGCGCAGGAGTGATGGGCTTCGCTGTTGGCATAGGCTTCGAGACTATCTCCAAATCATTCGTCGATGCCAATGATGGCCTTTGTTTGCTGGAAGTTGAAGGAGGCGCGGACGGAATCTCAGGGAGGTCGATTTCCATATCATTCTCGATAGTTGCAATTGGCTGTGGTGACATGACGCTTTCCCTCTCCGAAGAACGTTGGGATGATGGGGAAACCGAACGCTGGCTGTCGTCCTCATCAAACTCACCCTCGTCTTCCGAGCTTGTATAGATCATTATGTCATCCCCGCCAGCATCATCTCCGCTTTTCTTTGATACCAGCTCATTCGCGCGTGCGAACTCATCGGGGTACGATCTGAGGATATGACTCAGATTGCCCCTGTTCACAAGATACTTATTATATACCAAGGGGCCTTTTTGCTGATTGAACCACTTGATGGCAACCATGGGTTCCATACGGGAGCGTTTGACGTACTCCCCATAAGAGCACGGGTAAGCTCGGATGAACTCGTCATATAGGCAGTCTCGAAGCTGCTTCCTCGGACGTAGGTAGTTGAGGTATACACAGGCATAAATGAAGTTGGACTTGGTCCCGGGCAGCTTGTCACCCCCATTTTCACCGGGGTAGTCTGGATATTGCTGCACAAATGCTTCGTAGGGTTCCAGAGGAGCCCCTGGCGCTATAAGTGGCGCAGGAGCAGGCGGCTTTTCTGTCATCATCTGGTCATTTATCTGTGATTGAGAATTCGTTGCTGCAGTCGCCTTTGACGAACCCATCTGGGAAGATGTGGTCGGTTGTTGTATGGGCTTGCTCTCGTCACTTGGCTTCTTCTCGTCAGTGCCGTGGACAACCGGGCGATTTACAGTTGATCCATGAAAGTTGGTCGAGGGAACAACTTCCTCTATATGGTCCGTCGTTTCATCTTCCTCCTTCATTTCAATTGACTCTCTGATGTCTCTGACAGACTCTTGTGTGGTGGGTATACCCGTGAATGGGATAATAGAATCGGACGATGCTGGCATTGAACTGTCGACGACTTTTGCGGGCATTATAGTCGGCGGCAGACGATCTTTTTCGTTATAACCTTTCCTCCTTTTCCAACCCACACCGTCCATATCGATTGGTTTGAATCTTAATCGACGAGTCTTCGGGCTCTCACTTCCGCGAATATTTTCTTTGCTTGTGAATACGGTATTTGGCACCACCGTTTGAGCTGTGTTGCTTGGTTGAGCGCATGGCGGTGTAGCCATGGTCCTGTTCGTGGATAGCGGAGATGGTGCAGTCGGCTTAGACCGCACTGCCGTTCTATTGACGGAGCCATTGTGAAGAGGCTGAGCATCTGGAATCCGTGTTTCCAAATCGTCTTCAGTCTCCCCGGACGAAGGCAGGTTCTCAATGATTGGCTTTGAAATTGGCCGCTGTGGTCGTCCGAAGCCTGGTTTTGGTGTTTCGTGGACAATGGATGACTGGGTGTTATGGTCAACTACAGCTACCGCTATACAATCTGCGTCTTTTGAGGGAATGCGCTCTGGCGTTGGATGCCAGGACACAGCACGCTCGGGAGATGATTGTGGGGGCCTCCCATGGTCGGATCTAGGTGTGCTTGTGATGCCATTATGTTTCCGTTTATTGCTTGGTGATGTTATGGGACTCCCACTGCGCTTTTTCGAGATTGGAATACGCTCTTGAATTATGTCTTTGTTAGCAACATACGTTGCTTTCACTGTCTCAAGAACGTGTCCTGGAAGGTGCGATAGGCCGTGGGGCGTGTTTTCCAACTCGACTGCCCATGAGTCTGGTCTTTCGAGCAGTTCTTTCTGATCGGAGGGAATGTTGGTAACGCGATGCCGGTTGAAAAGCTCCGTAATGTCCCGATCAGGGGACGATTTGGGAGACATTGGGATGCGAAAGATTGCCCACAACCTGTCGCGATGTATGGATGCTACATGGGAGGCTTCGATGAAGAATCTATGCGACGGGGCGAAGAGATCGAAGGAAGGTGTGCGGCAAGGATAGGATTTTCGAGACGTGCGACGTATGCGATAGATGTATGGGGGTATTCCTTTTGCAGATAGAAAGTTTTGTGTGAGATAACAATGGACCTCTTAGAGTGAAGATTGAGTGAAATGCTTTCTCGAGAGCTCGAGGTCTATCGAATCGAAACGAAATCCAGCGCGACGCGACGGGTAATTTTGGGCCGTGTTGGCAGCTGCTGCGGGGTCCAGTTTGTAAGGTGTGGTAGGCGGGTGGCTCGTGCTTGATCAGCGCCAAGTCATCGGTACTTGAGATTTTTAGTTTAGTTTGTGCATGTCAGAGGTGAAGTTGGTGATCTTGACAGGCCTCAACTGGATATACTCATGATGAAGCCGGTGAAATTACTGTGATGTTATAGGAGATATTAAGCGAGCATCAGTCAAGATCGTCTAGTGAGAGTAGCATACTGCATTGAAATGGTCATCAAGATACAATCAACTCATGCCAACGGTGACTGTTCCACAACAGCAAAAAAGCGACCGAGACCTACATGTACCGGTGACCCCCATGTCGTTAACAGTTCAGGCTTCGGCTGCCTTGCAAGGGTCTGACGCCATCACGCATTCAACACCCATCTCAGGTGCCCAAAGGTTGTTCTCGACCTTGGATCTTCACGACGTACAGCCGTGATAGCTGTGCGGGACAGCATATTCCTTCTGCGCCGCAGCATCCAGCTGATGCTCTTTCGTCATTTTGCTTCCTGTCTCTTGCCTTATCCGCTATTAGAGCCTGTCTGAACTACCTGAACCTTAGCCCGCCCCATTCCGTCTTTTCCAAGACGAAACCCCCGACCTTTCTTGCAGTCTCGTCTATCCACAACAGCTTCACCGATCAGCGAAACCCTGAAGATCGACCTCGACTTCTCCGCACTGCTCGCCGCTTCCATTCTGCATTCTCCATCTGTCCACGACGTGCTTACCTATTCCTTTAAAGTTCGTCGGATCACCATGCTGTTGATATCTTGTACTCGAACTGTGGCTGCTGCGTTTGCTTGAGCAACTCGAAGCGGACAAACGTCACATGCATTGAGTCTTAGACTTCTAAGGCCTTTCTGTTGACGATCGCCGTGCGTCCGCATACCGACCTCCAACTTCATTACTCAAGTCGCTGTCGAGTTTTCATACGCTGGATCTGCCAGCCCATTCTCAGAATAACCACGCTCTCAACATGTCGCGGCCCAGATCCGGCTCCGTGGCATCGACAAGCTCTCCCATCCGTAACCGCCGCGATTCTATCAACTCGATTTCTACAGGGCAACTTGCCCATGCCCTTGACAAGATACACACATCCGCCAGCCAGTGTGACTCCCTAACCACCTTTAACGACTTCGCTCCGCCCCCGGTAGCAGCACCAACCTCAGAAAATAAAGGAATAGCAGGCGATCTAGTCCAACAAGGCTTCAGTGGACTCTATAGTCGTTTGAGGGAGGCTGTAGGTGGCGGAGTCACCTCTAAATCACAGGAACAAATATCGGGAGAAAGGTCAGAGCCCTCTTCCAAAAGAACCTCGATTGTTGCCAATCATGGCTCGAAGGCCTCTATCGGCTCGCTTAGTCGAGTCGACACCGGCGCCTCACTATCCCCTTCCTCGTCTCAGGTTCTACCTAATGATGGGGCATCTACAAGTCAAAGTGGTGGTACTATCGAACCTCGACCGCAAGCTCAGTCATCCAAGCCGTCGAGCATCAGCCTGATGTCTAACCAGAAGTCCAACCCTACGAACCGTCAAAGCTTCTCCAAAAAGGCCCCCAGTTCTATCGCCGCTGACCCTACGATCGCTCCTGTTACGGTACACAGAGATCCTAGTCATACCACCATCCGCACTGAGGACAGTGGCGGCGTCGGATCGAGCCGAAAGAGTATCAGCAGCCGAGCCGATTTGCAAGCGCATCTAACGACAGCTGAATCATCGGCCAGTCTGTATGACATGAAAGATGGTAAGATTCCGCCCAGGTCTAAACGTGAGGACACCTCAAGTATCGACGAAAGTATCAAAAGTCCGACAAGTCCCAGGAGTACACACCATCGTACGCCTTCTCTACAGACTCGAAGTCTTCGCAGCCCTTCAGTCACCTCATCTTTACTATCACCCGACAGCGTAAGAAGGAAGCCTGCCGTTATCGATCGAATCAGTCGCTCGAGATCCCCTGGAGGCCAAAACTCGAGGGATTCCTCATTGGACAGGGGAACCGCTGAGCCTAGCCGCGTCAGCACATCTGCCCATGATTCTGTTTGCCACGATTCCTTCTCTAATAACCCCAAACCACAAAAGATGGCTTCGGGCGATTTCAGAATACCCGGCACTGTCACGAGTAGTGAAGAAGCCTCTGAACAGGTGAATGCACAGCTCACTCGTATGCGGAAGCAGGTTTTGAGTAAGGAATTCTGGATGAAAGATGATACTGTCAAGGAGTGTTTCCTCTGTCAGACACCATTCAGCGCATTCAGGAGAAAACATCATTGCAGAACCTGCGGCTGCATCTTCGATTCAAAATGCACCACTGTAATCTCAGGCGAGAAGTTCGGTGTGCAAGGTTCGCTACGCGTCTGTAAGCGATGTCTCGAAGTCATCACCAGACGTTTTGATGGAAGTGGTTCAGAGGACTCTGGAGATGAACAATCGTTCATGCCAAGATTCTTCGGCGCAAATCATGCGAAAAGCCCCAGCAACGCGAGCCAGTCTAAGCCAAGAGATAACGAATCTGGGGTTGCCTCCGAAGGTTCAGAAGACTCGAGACCTGTGTCAAGACCTGTGACGACACCAATGATGGCTATACCTGCAACTCGTCGCCTTGGAGAATCTCGTACTGCAGCCATTCTGGAGATCGATGCGCCACAATTAAGCAGGCCAGGCTCTTCACGGTCTCTCAAATCCCTAAGTGCGAGGCCTCATTCTTCTGCAGGCCATAAACGACACCACTCCAAACATGCTGGCTTCTTAAACCGTTTCAAGCCTGCACCGGAGGAAAGGGCGCCTTTCAGACGTGGCATTGATGATGAGAGCGCTAAGAAGCCAAAGTTTCCTGCCTTCCATGACGATAATATCATCGATCCGGAGCTGGCTGACTACATGTCCGATGAGTCAAGTGAAGATGAACAAATGAGCCTATTTACCACAATGACAGGCGACTTGCAACCCGGAAGCCTTGGTGATGACAAGTCAGAACTTACGCCATACGTAAATGCTAATAGAAAATATCGCCATAGGGCAGGCGAAAAGAGCATCAGCGGTATGAGCTTCGTGAGTAGAGGTGGTCTCGATGAGCTGCCTGGAAGTCTTGGCGGATATCGTCGGCCACCAAGGCGACGGAACACTAGCAATGTTAGTGGCAGTATGCATCACTTGCCATCACCGCGCCCAAAGTCCGCCGTGTTCAAGGGCCCTTCTCAATCCTCAGAACTGCTCTTCTCATTGGATACGCCTCACCAAAGTGCAAACCAGATCACTAGGAGTGACTCGCTGCAACACAAGAAGGCCCCTAAAGTCGAGCTCAACTCATCCAGCTTGAGACACGTTGATAAGTTGCTACACCAGCTACTAGACGATGCAGAGATTTCAAATCCCCCGGCCTGGCAAAAGGCTCTTGTTCCCATCCTGTTGCGAGCAACAGATGACGTTGACCCGGACGTCGCAAAGGGAGAAGATATGGATATCCGACATTATGTCAAGTTGAAGAGAATCCCAGGAGGCAAGCCTGGTGACACAGCATACATCTCTGGTGTAGTTTTCACCAAGAACCTGGCCCTCAAGAGTATGCCTCGCAGGATTACCAATCCACGAGTAATGCTTGTCACATTTCCCATTGAGTACCAACGGCACCAACAGCACTTTATGAGCTTGCAACCTGTCATCGAGCAAGAAAAAGAATTTCTACGGGTTGTGGTCCAGAGAATCACGAATCTCCGCCCTCAAGTACTTCTTGCTGAAAAGAGCATCTCTGGTGTGGCGTTGCAGTATCTTTCCGACGCAAACATTTCAGTGGCCTACAATGTTAAGCACACGGTTATTGAAGCAGTTGCACGATGTGCTGAAACCGACATTATATCGTCTCTTGACATGTTGGCATTGCCCGTCCAGATTGGACGATGCGCTAGCTTCGAGGTTAGGACGTTTGTGAATAATGACTACCCGGGTCGCAAAAAATCATATATTTTCTTGTCCGGTTGTACTCCTGAGCTTGGCTGCACGATTGCGCTGAGGGGTGCCAACAGCACAGTACTCTCGAAGGTGAAGCATATCATGGAGTTTATGGTTTATGTTGTCTACAATCTGAAGCTTGAATCGAGCCTTTTGAGGGATGAGTCGATCGAACTTCCAGAAGGTGGAGATTCCATGACAAACTCTATGCAGCTCCAGGGCGATAGTGCGAGATCTACAAGTGTCAATAGTGTTGACAACTCGAGAGACGGCCCAGCTGTTGCGGTTAATCACCCGCCAGGAGATAGTGAACCGCCCTCTCAAACAACTGCGGACAGCGCTAGTATCACTGAAACCGACGACACAGGCTCATTGAACCAGTCAGGCCAGTTGACTCAAGAACGCACACGTCTCATGTCTCTTCAAGAGCAGTCCGATCCTGTTGCCGAGGATCAAACCAGCCAAGTTCCGGACGATGTCCCTATGCCAACTTACTATAGTGACATGGTGGCCAAGTACGAAACCAAGATTCTCTCTGCTTCGCCCTATGTCAAGTTCACACAACCCTACCTTCTAATGAAGACGCGCGAGCAGGAGAGAAGATTGCTCTACTTGCGCAGATTGCGTAACCACGATTATTATGAAGAAAAAGACTCAGAGAAATCAGAACCTCAAAAGTTCCAACTCATCAAGCCCGAAATGGTCGAAGCGATTGGCCAAAAGGCGCCACGACAGATTATGGAGATCCTTCGAGCTGTTCACGATGCAGAGTACGACAAGGCCTTATACAATTATCAAACGCAAACTCGTCAGTGGGAAACGTATATCCAGGGCAACCTCGATCTCTTCGATCCGTATTCTCATCAGAACATTGTCGTCCTTTACTCCGTTGTCTGTACAGAGACGAAGATCCCATGTACTGAACCCTCTTTGGTTGCCATCAACTTTTATGATGAGCAGCATATTGACACTGGTATGGATCCTGATTGCACCTTGGGTCAATACATTGAAGATCTTGCCTACACCATGAACCAAGTCTGCACTTCCAACGGCTGCGAACGCAGGATGCTGGAACACCATAGGACCTATGTGCATGACCAGTTTCGAATCACAGTTTTTGTCGAGAACATGCCAAACAACTCTGCTCTGGCAGACTATGATGGCATTACAATGTGGACTTACTGCAAGATTTGTAAGAAGGATACCGAAGAGAGACCTATGTCGGAAGCTACCTACAAATACTCATTTGGCAAATACTTGGAACTCCTCTTTTGGGGCCGGGGACTGAAGATGAAAGGCATGCATGAATGTCCCCATGACCACCACCGGGACCACGTTCGGTACTTCAGCCTTCAAGACGCAAGAATTCGCATTCATTGGGATCCCATCGATCTATTGGAGATCGTTGTGCCACGAGCAAGAATCACCTGGAAAGTAACCAATGATTTGAAGCTTAAGAATGAGATCTTTGTCAAAATGGAAGAGAGATGGGCCAAGTTCATGGCCTCGGTCAGATCGAGGCTAATGTGCATCAGAATTGACAGTGTCTTGCCTGATAAGGCAGACCTGTGCAAATCTGAAGTCGATCGTTTGACTGCTAAAGCAAAAGAGGATCTCCCAATCATCGTCAAGAGATTGCAAGATATTTACGTCAACTCGAAGTATTACGAAGTGGTTCCTTTCAACAGTATCGTCCGAGAGATGCTCGAGAAAGCTGGGGAATGGGATCAAGCATTTACCAAATTTGAAGCTGATTTCCTCAGCGACAAAGATATGCGCCAGTTAACCATCATGCAATTGAAGAAGATGTTTACAGATAATGAGTCAAAGGAGTCGCTAGTTTCGAACGAGGGCACGCCATCAACTGTTGATAGCGAAGAACGGCCGTCTCAAACTTTCACGGAAGAAGAAGGGAAGAGCACCCAACCAACGGACTACACCGACAACACCAGTATGGAGGCTAGTGTCGCTTCATCAAAGCCTGTCGATGATAAGGACGTTCCCGATGAAGATGGTAAGGTTGAAATCCCTGCAGAAGGGGCCATTGAAAGAGTCGAACCATTGGATCTAGCGCGCACGCCCTCAACACCATCTCATCCTCCTCCTGAGCTGTCTCAAGGCGACGAGGCATCAGAAGCCCAAGAAGCCCAAGATGATCAAGACGATCAAGAGACCCCCATTGCCGATCCTGAACAAACACCAAAGGCATCGGGCGGGGCTTTTGACTTGGTCCCCCTGGAACCTACTAAGACCACTGAACCCAATGAGCCAACTGAGCCCGCTGAGTCTGGTGTTGAGTCCACCGAGCCCACCGAGCCACTCCCATCTCCTCTCGAAGCGCTCCCTTCGCCGGCTCCGTCGCTATCGGATAAAGTTGACCAGATGAGGCGAGAACAGGGCTATCAAGCAGGTCCATCTGCGATTCCTACTCCCACAAACGAGCGCGGGCCTTCTCGTAAGTCTGGGCAAGCGGTTTCGCCTCCAATGGTTAGAGCAACCTCCCATCCCGTTCGTACACTGTCTAGGACGCAGTCAGGAGTCGGCAAGGGTCTTGGCATTAAGGAAACTAAGACAAATCCTCCTGACAGCACGGGGTCCGAGTCAACAACCGAGGGGTCGGTCAGAGTGGATAAGAAGCTCTCAGATCGCCTAGGGTTGAGGAATTTGAAGGATAGAGGCAAAACGACCGCGTCAGGAATTCCGCGATTCGTGCATAAGAAGAGAGAGTCGAAGGTTTCAACACTGGCGAGACACTTTGAGCAGCTTAGTCGAGAATTCGAGAAAGAGCGTATCCGAGACCGCAAGAAGCGTGCTGCGAGCATGCGCCAACCTCGAGCTATGCTTCCGAGAACAACTACGAAAGCCATTGTTGAGGTCTATGACGATGTAAACGACGCTTTTGACGAACCAAGCCCTCCATCGGAAAGTATTGCTGAACGCGAAGCCAGTAAACGTGCTGGCAGCATTGCTTCACGAAGGTCGGATTCGCACCATAAGCCAGAGTCGGTCATTGAGCCATTGACTCCTGCTGAGCCACCTGCGAGCATGGAGGAACAACAGCACGGAAACCCAAGCCAACAAGTGGGAGGTGAAGAGCCATGTCAAGAGCGCGGAGACAAGGCAGACCATGGAGAAGGAGAAGATATAACGGAGAAGGAAGAAAAGGAAGAAAAGGAAGAGAATGACGACCACACCATTGCAAATACCAGTCAGACATTCTCAGATGACGAAGAACGTACCACTGATCTCGAACACTCGGTGCCAGATGAGTACTTGCACGACATAAAAGAGATTGCTGATTCCGTTGATGCAAGCGACATTCCACTGGAGTTGCCCAAGCATCAAAAGACCAGCTTGATGAAGTATCTCACCAACTTCTGGGCTGAACGGGGTGCAAGCGGCTGGCACCAGCTCGAATATCCGGTCAATCCCAGCGACCATATCTTTGTTGATTCAGACATCATCGTACGAGAGGATGAGCCAAGCTCAGTCATTGCACTCGCTCTCAATAGCGAAGATTACAAGGGCAAGCTGGCGAACATTCGACGAGAAGCACAGGAGGTTATGCAACGCGAAGTTGAGGGTGGTGGGGATGCCGAGCCCAAGTCACTGCCTTCAGATGGTACCGACTGGATGGTGTCGGAAACGGACATGGAAAAGAGTCTTCTTCGCGTCACAGGGACCCATCTTAAGTACCAATTCCGAGAAGGCTCTGCTACCATGACCTGCAAGATCTTCTATGCAGAGCAGTTTGATGCACTCAGGAGGAAGTGTGGCGTTGCAGAACGTATTGTCGAGTCTCTTTCGCGATGCCTGAAGTGGGATTCGAAGGGAGGCAAGACTAAGTCCGTTTTCTTGAAGACGTTGGATGATCGCCTCGTTCTCAAGGTAAGTTTGTGTAGATTCTCGCTTCGAGTCAAGATCGACTAACTATCCCCAGTCACTCTCACCTATCGAGACTTCGGCTTTCCTGCGATTTGCGCCTGGATACTTCAACATCATGGCCGAGGCACTGTTTCATGATCTCCCATCTGTCATCGCAAAGATGCTAGGCTTCTTCCAGGTGTTCATCAAGAACCCTGCAACAGGAACTGACATCAAGCTGGATCTCCTTATCACTGAAAACCTCTTCTACGACCGGTCAGCAACAAGAATTTTTGACCTCAAAGGTTCAATGCGAAACCGCAAGATCCAGTCAACAGGGGAGCAAAATGAGGTTCTCCTTGACGAAAACATGGTTGAGTACATTTATGAGTCACCCCTCTTTGCACGAGAGCATTCCAAGAAGCTCCTACGCGCTTCCGTCTGGAACGATACACTTTTCTTGGCAAGACAGAATGTGATGGACTATTCACTCATGATTGCCGTTGACGAAGCTCGCAAGGAACTCGTGGTTGGCATCATTGACTGTATCCGCACCTACACTTGGGACAAGAAGCTCGAGAGTTGGATCAAGGACCGTGGATTTGCAGGTGGTGGCCGCAATCGACCTACCGTAACCAGTCCCAAGGAATACAAGTCCCGTTTCCGAGAGGCAATGGCCAGGTATGTACAAGACAGGGTGGATATAGGTGTTCGTATACTAACTTGTGATCAGGTACATCTTGCAAGCGCCCAACTGCTGGCATCTATTCAACAACCCTCAGTATCCGCATTACTATGGGCGCGCTAGGTTCGAAGAGCCCGAGTTGCTCCGCTGAGCGTATGAATTTTTATGTACGATGCGAATGAGATCAACGAAGAAAAAGACGCATGGTTCGCAACAGCTGGTATAAACGTAAAAGAACTGTATTTTTGTTTTGTGTACAAGCACGCATCAGCGTTGTTATTGTCATCATTTACCAGAGCATTCATTCAAGGGGACACGGAAAGGATGGCCTTGCTTACAACTCAGGAGGCTTTGCATGATGTGGATACAAGACATGCATAAATCAATAGAGTATGGCTACTGTTGTATGCCCCTTAAGAAATGTTGAGCTCAATGGCTGTATCGTGATGGATTGTCTAGACAGCTCGAGTGATGATGTCGGCTTAGACCCCACTGGGTAGGTTCAGGGCATCATCTTAGGCCTATGGCACCTGTAAGCCACTGAAACCTGTCATATCAGGCCCTAGGAGCTCCGTCCGTCATGTCATCCACTTCCTACTCTCATACCCAAATTGCACCCAATTTTGACATCAACAACAACTGAGATATAAGATAATGTCGATTGACCTGAACTGGGAGACGCTCACTAGCGGCCCCGATGGCGACGCCCTCGCTGAGCGCATACGGGAATTCGTCCATGAGAAATTCCAGACAGTTCCGTTACCAAAATTCATTCGCTCAGTAAACGTCCACGGTTTCGACTTTGGGACCATCCCTCCACAGCTTGAGCTCAAGGACATTACAGATCCTCTACCTGATTTCTACGAAGAGGACCTGGACGATGATGAAGAGGACAGCGAAGAAGAGCCATCACCTCCTCTGCCCCCAGAGCCAACAAGGATGAGGCCTGGACCTACACCGTGGGGAGGATCAACGAGGAGAGGTGGTGGACTGAGGAGCGAGGTATTAAGGAATGAGATGATGGGCCATGATTTGGGAAGTCCGTTCCTAGGAACTTCAACGCCAGGAATTCTAGGAGGATCGGGATTGGGTTATTTCCAGAGCCATCTTGGAACAGGCACACATACGCCTTTGGCGGCTGTTGCAAGTGCGCATCATACTAACTGGATGAGCGTCCCGGGAACACCAGCACGCGAATGGGGAGCCCCAAGTCACACACGGAACCCATCACAGAGCAGCCTGACTTCTGTTGATAACTTCAAGTCCAGCCTTGACCCGCTGCAGAGTCTGCGTGAGAAGGGAAGCGTCTCTACGCTGGCGCCTACGTCAGTGGAGGCGTCGCGGCCGCCAACGAGAGATACACATCTTGGCGGCTCGGCGATTGAAGACGACGATGAAGAGGAGGGAGAAGAAGAAGCAGGGCGGCGGCCAAGAGAACCTCGTGTTGAGGACGTGCAAGCCGTCTTTAGGATACGCTACAATGGTGACATACGCTTGAACCTTACTGCGGAGATCCTACTCGACTATCCCATGCCAAGTTTTGTGGGTATTCCTTTAAAACTCAACATTACAGGCTTGACGTTTGATGGCGTGGGAGTATTGGCGCATATTCGCAAGCGAGTACACTTTTGCTTCCTCGGTCCAGATGATGCGCTCGCAGCTGTTGGACCCGATGATACTAAAGAGGAGGGGGGTTCGAGCACTTCTACAGCAGATGCCAAGAATGAACATCACAAACCACGATTTGGGGGACTTCTACAAGAGATTCGCGTGGAGAGCGAGATTGGAGAACGGGTTGGCGGAAAGCAGAGCTTAAAGAACGTGGGCAAAGTCGAGAGATTCGTGCTAGAACAGGTCAGAAGGATTTTTGAGTCGGAATTCGTCTATCCCAGCTTTTGGACGTTCTTGGTATAATGGACCATGGATCATGAGGATGATCGCTGTGGGTATATAGAGAAAGCACACCACTTCTAATAACCATGCGGACAGGCATTGGCGCAAGCATCTTTGCTCAAAACAAGGATATATACAAAATCATCAGGTCACAGCACATCATGTCAACGTCCTTCTGAATCCCTGGTACGCCTGCTGAATATCCAGCTCCAGCTCGCGCGCCTGGCCCTCACTCAACTCATCAGTCGCTCTCATCTGGTTGAGCGTGATAAGCCATTGCACGATCTTGCCGCGGTTCTCAAAGTCTTTGTCCGTGACACGGTTCACCGATTGGATGACGTCGGAAAGAAGAGGGTGTAGTTGATCCTTGGAAAGGAGACCGAGCTTAACGGCATCGAGAAAGGTGATGAATTCTTGGGTGGCTTCGAGAATGAGAACACCGCTTGTGTTGTTGGCTGCGGCGGGGGCGGGAGTTTGTGCCGAGGGGGCTCGATCGATGGTCGTTGAGGGCATTCCTACACGAATGCGCTCGGTTGCGCGAGGGGCTTCGAGCTATTCAATTATCAGTTCTGGGTTAATAGGAGCTGTCGGGATATTATAGAGCGTCATACGTCCCACTTGGCCTTGAATTCCTCAAGATCTCCAAACTCCCTCGCGATCGTCTCATCAGCCAGCAGCGCCTTATACTGCCTTAACGATCGCTCGCAGATCTCAGTATACTCTGCTTCAGGGACGGCATCTTTTAAAAAGGCTTTTTCGAGTTCATCGAGAGTTATTATAATGCTGAAGAGTTCGGCGAGGGATTCTTGAAGGTCGCGCTCGGCACGGGTGTTGGTGAGCTTGACTTCCTACACTTGGCGGTTAGCTACGGTAATGGAACAACTCGAAGCAAGATGAAGCATACCTCGTCGAGATTTATACTTGCTGAAAGACTTGTATTGGGTACATAGCTATGAGGAGTTGGCGCGTAGCCTTGTCTTGGGATCATGGTGAAAGAGGCATTGGCTTGATCAATGCCTATAATGGAATACCAGTAATACGGCGCAATAAGAGAAAGCTCCAAGTGGGATGCCTACTAGACATGGCTGCATGTTACGTAGGGGAGCGGCAGAATCCCCACACCGCCTGACGTTTACGTCCACCATCTCTTATCGATAAGCGTGCAGCAAAATTTTTGGTTTTTGGTTTGGTTGCGAGAGCCTCTGCGAGACCCATCTAAAACTTGCAAACAAAAACTACCCAATCCCTAAAAGTTGAATTCTTCACCAGCCGAGGCGCTTCACAGTTTTCCAAAATGGCGCCAGGCAAGAAGAATCTCAAGGCGACCAAGAAGTTCGAGAAGAGACATCTCACAGGTGTTCTCGACAAGCGGAAAGCAGGCGCCAAAATCAAGCAGCGCCATCAGATGCAGGATAAGAAGAAGGCTAGAAAGTCAAAAGATGCAGAGTTTCACAAGGGCTCCAAGGATGGAGAGGACGGAGAGGTCAAGAAGCCCAGCGCCAAGGGCAAGAAGGTCAACGATATGAGTGTCGATGAGTTCTTCTCGGGCGGTTTCGACGATATTATCGACAGCAAGGATAAGAAGGCCGGCAAGCTTGGAAAGCGAAAGAGGAACGGTGCCGCCGCCGAGGATAACGAAACCAGCGACTCTGACGACTCAATTGGTGCGCAGCCCATCGCGGCCGACAGCGACGACAATGATGGCGACGACGCCGAGGACGATGTTGGCATGAGCAAGGAGACCATGGAGAAGCTCGCCGAGAATGATCCCGAATTCTACAAGTTCCTCAAGGAGAACGACCCCGAGGCTCTCGACTTTGATGACAACGCCGACCTCGCAGAGGTAGATGCGCTTAGTGGCGACGACGAGTCAGAACAAGAAGAGGAGCAGCCCAAGAAGAAGCGGAAGAAGGAGAAGGAGGCCAAGGCTGAGGCCGTCGCGCAAGGGAACGAGTTGACCCGTGAGCTTGTTGCTTCGTGGAGGAAGGCTATGGCTGAGAAGAACTCTTTACGGGCGGCCCGACAGGTTGTTCTGGCTTTCCGATGCGCTGCGCACTTGAACGAGGATGATGAAGGGGAGTCTCAGCAGCGATATGCTATCAACAGTCCCGAGGTCTTCAACGACATTCTTCTCCTCGCCCTCAAGGAGATTCCCACGGTTATGAACCACCATCTCCCCGTCAAGGAGTCAGCCTCTGGCAAAGTCCACGTTCAGACCGAGTCAAGAAAGTTCCACACATTGTCTCTGCTGCTCAAGACATACACCTCGTCTATTATGCACCTGTTGAGCACTCTCTCCGACGACAAGACCCTCAAGCTCACACTCTCCTCCATCACCCCTATTCTCCCTTACCTCCTCTCCTTCAAGAAGCTCGTCAAGGCCCTCGCCAAATCCGTCGTGAACTTCTGGGCTCAGCCTGCCAGTTCTGAGACGACAAAGCTCACAGCATTCCTCGTCCTGCGACGTCTCGTCGTTATCGGTGACAAGGGTATTCGCGAGACGGTCCTCAAGGCTGTTTACCAAGGCCTCATCCAGGGCTGCCGTGTCACAAATGCCAACACCCTTCAGGGCATTAACCTCATGAAGAACTCTGCTGCTGAGCTTTGGGGCATTGATCAGTCGGTTGGCTACACAACTGCTTTCTCTTTCATCCGACAACTCGCTATCCACCTACGAAACAGTATCGTACACAACAAGAATGATGCGTTCCGAATCGTCTACAACTGGCAATACACACACTCGCTCGACTTCTGGTCCTGCGTTCTCGCTGAGCACTGCAGTCCCCTGAAGGAGGCCGAGGCTGGAAAGGAGAGTCAGCTCAAGCTCCTAATCTATCCCCTTGTTCAAGTTACGCTCGGAGCCATGCGTCTCATCCCCACCGCCATCTACTTCCCCTTCCGCTTCCACCTAATCCGCTCCCTGCTCCGACTCTCCCGCGCCACCGGAACTTACATCCCTCTCGCCTCTCCCCTTCTCGAGGTCCTTACTTCAGCTGAGATGAAGAAGGCCCCCAAAGCCGCATCCCTCAAGCCCTTCGACTTTGCCACATCTTACAAGGCTCCCAAGTCATACCTCCGAACCCGTGTCTTCCAAGACGGTGTCGGCGAGCAACTCGTTGAGCTTCTTGGCGAGTACTTCTTCCTGTGGGCCACAAGCATCGCCTTCCCCGAGCTCGCTCTCCCTGTCATCATCCAACTGAAGCGCTGGCTCAAGCAAGCCCGTAACAAGAGCACGGGCAACAAGAACGTCAAGCTCGCTACCCAAGTTATTCTCCTGGTGCAGAAGCTTGAGGCCAACGGCAAGTTCATCGAGGAGAAGCGCGCAAAGGTTGACTTCGCCCCCAGGGACCGCACTCAGGTTGAGGCTTTCTTGCGTGACTTTGACCTCGCCAAGACACCTCTTGGTGCTTATGTCGTGGGACAGCGAAAGGCTCGTGCTGAGCGTGCCAAGTTGCTCGAAGAGGCCAGGAGAGAGGACGACCGTAAGAGACGACAGGATGAGAAGGCTGATCTGGAAGATCAAGTGGAGGATGACAGTGAAGTCGACGAGGATGAGGATGAGGATGAAGACGAGGAGATGGACGGTGAGAACGGCGCTGCTGATAGCGACGACGAAGAGGATGATGAAGAGTAGATATAAGTACTTGTTTTTTTCTGGGATGGTGTGCAAAAAACGGATGTAATTTCTTACTTGTTAAAGACCTGAATCGAGGATACCTTTTCTGTTCAACTTCACTGTGGCTGTGAAAAGATTGATCAAACAAGTGCGCAATGGGATATAAGTGATTCAACTCAAAGATGCTTTCATAGTCATTCTTGCCAAAGACTAGCGAGTCATACATGTTTGTACAAAAAACCGCAATACACTGATCGAAAGGCCCTAATAATTCCAAACTCCCCGAGTACTGCCATCTAACCCGCGATGGTCGATACCTCTGATCACAAAGTCCTTTGCGTGGCCAAAAACGCCTTTTTCCATGATTGATCTCAAATTCTGCAACCCCCAAAACGCTTCACATCATGCCAACAATTGTTTATAACTCAGGAACACCCTCCCAGGTAAGTTCACTGTTACTAGTTACATCACGGACAGTCATGCCTGTGATGTTTAGAACAGTCATCTCAATCTCCTCCTCTGACATAGCCTGGCCGGCGGCCTTCTGACCCTCAAGAACATCATAGAGGCTGTAGATCTGGTCGTTCTTTGCCTCAAGTCGCTTGAGAGTTGTACGAATGGTCTCAGCAAGGTTGAGACGCTCACGGCGACCCAAGGCTTTATCGCGGCCATTGTACTGCGCCTGAATGCGGGTGAGCTCAAGCTGGAGGTGATGAGATTCATCCTCCAAGCCCTTGATAACCACAGCAAGAGCATGGCCAGGGTGCTGAGTAGGCCGCATGGTAGGGTCCTCTACTGACAAGTCACGATCGGTGACAGGGACTGGTCGTGGCACAGTAACACGCTTCTTGCCGGCGGCGATATCGGCGGAAGTGAAGATGTTACGGTGAGATGTGATTCGGCTGCAGACAGTGCAGTTACGGCATTCATGCTCGCACAGGTCATCAAGCACTCTCTTGGCATCACTGGAGAGGACAGGGCACGTATCCTTGTCAACGCTCTTGATGCTAGCAGAGGTGATGTCGGTTGTAATCTGCTTGCGTAACGATCGGGAGTGGGATCGAGTGTGCTGCGACCTCTGACTCTGCACCGTAGTATTCTGAGTATTCGACTCCTTCTGCCCAGTACTCTTGGCCTCCTTACGGGCCTTAGGCACGACGCTCAGCTGGGTCGAATTGTCCTGTGTGGCATTCTCAACTGATTGAAGACCAGTAGTCTCATCGTTATCCTCCAGCGTGTCCATATCATATGTTGCAATGCCCTTCATAGAGCTACGTCTCTTGGAATCGGAAGTGGTTCGGCGTTTGCTGCCCTGGTTTGCGACATTGGAGCTGCTCTTCTTAGAAGACTTACCAGGGATCGAGAAAGCAACCTTTTGTTGATTGCCAGACTTGGAAGTCTTGCTCTTGCTCTGAGAATGCCTGGTCTCGCTTTGGGACGTGATGTCACGCTTAGTACGTGTACGAGTCTCCTCTTCGGTGAGATCAGGAATTGTTGGCAATCTGCCGCTATCCTCGATTGGCTCGGTAATCTCCTTGGTCTCAGTAGCTTGGGCGTTCTCGGCAGTATCAACGTCGCCAGTGTTGCTGTTGATGGTGATATCAGGAATGAAGAAGGCCGATGTCATGTTCTCCTCTGTCTCATCATCGAGACGGGCAGAAAAGTCCTCCTTGGGCACTGGGCGGAAAGACTCCAACTGCTGCTTGAGGAAGTCAACCTCATCCTTGAGTTTCACATTCTCGTCGTGAAGATCATGAATGCTTCGCTCAAAGCCCGAATTCTCGCGTCGAAGAACCTTGTTCTCCTCAAAGTACTTTTCGTTGTGTCGCACCAGGCTTGCGTTATCCTCGCCAAGCGTAGACTTCTCCTGAGACACATTCTGGAGTTCTTGTTGAAGCGCTTCAACCTCTTCCCTCGCTGCGTCAAGCTCATGTTGAAGTCCGTCAAGGTTTTCGCGGAGCTCCTCGTTCTCATCCGTGAGAGTCTTGTTTGTGGTTCGTAGTGAACGGTTCTCGCCAATCAAGGACTGGTTTTCACGTCTGACTGTGTTGTTGTCGGATCGCAGGGACTCAATTTCCTCCTTCATAGTCTCATGCTCCTTTCGTAGAGTATCATTGGCAGCAGAGAGGGACTTGTTCTCGAGGTTCAACGAATCACGGCCGTGTTTCAGAGACATGAGATCTCGTCGGAGGGTGTCGTTCTCGTTACGAATTTGCTCCGTCGACTCGAGCTGCTTGTGTGTTGTTTCCAATTCCTTCTGTTTCGTGCTCAGCTTGCGAGTGAGCTTGTTGATATCCTCACAAGCCTCCTGTAGCTTCCTCACTGCGCGGTCCCGTTCTTGAGCCAAAGAGTCGTTTTCAATCTCATTCAAGCTGATCTTGCGCGAGGCTTGCTCCAAGCGAGATTGGAGAGTGGAAACCTCAACTTCCAGACCTAGAATGAGTCAGTAGCGCGCTTAGAATACCATGATCAGGGACTTACGGTTCTTTTGAGCCATCAGTTTCTCGTTGGCCCCAGCAGAATCATAGTCATCGTCATACGACTTTCGTGACTTGAGTTGAGCCTCCAATTGCTCAACCTGTTGCTGCAGGTTCTCGGCATACTCGTGAACCTTATCGTAGTGCTCTTGGAGAGAGATGATTTCTTCGCGGATCATATCCATCGAAACAAAGATCTTCTCTTCATCTTCTGGCACCTCAACTTCATCAACTTCGGCATGGGCCGAAAGCGATGGCTTCTCATAACGGTCATGAACTCTGCCATTCTTGACGAAGATGGGAACACCATTCCGCATTGAGCCACTGAATCGAAGAGTGCCATCGACAAAGTCACCAAGATGTGAGATGTCAGGCATGAAGAAAGAGCGAGCGTTGCTTTCGTTGTGTGCAGGGCTGGCAATGGAGGCGGGTGAAGGAGGAACAGCGGTCAAGCTGGACTTGGCTGAAGACATTTGTGGTGAAGACTTGTTTTGCTGATTTTGATCTCGAAGCTCGGGGCTCTTTGCACTGCTGCGTAGGCGGTCAAATGCCTCGGAGATGGTCTCTCGCCGTTGTTGTTTTTGTGCGGCCATTGATTCGGATGAGGTTCGGTTGTGGACCTTGGACAATGGGCTAGGGTTGTGTGCGTTCTTGTTCCAAGAGTGGTAAGAAAGGGCTCGGTTAGGAGACTTGGAGAGGATCGAAGACAGATCGGACTCGTTATCGACGCGAGGCTGCATCTCAGCACGCGTTCTAGCGGAACCTTGCCAGGTGTCTTGTGTGATGTCGTCAATGGCGAACTTGATTCCAGAGGCAGGAGGCTTGTTCTCCTTGGACTCAGCACTCATAGGCCGAGTGTCAGTGTTATCGTCATAGACAGGCACCTCGCGGGTCTTGGGCATGCCAAAGAACTCAGGCCACTTGCGATGGGCAGCCTCCCAATTGACGGGGAGGTTGCGAGGCGCAGTGACGCGAGCAATATCCTCGTTAAGTCTTCTTGTGGACTCGCCGTCTGGGTCGGAGAAGACTGAAGATAGCGTAGGGCTGACGGTGCCGTGTGAACCAGTTGATGAGGGTGGTGAGTTGAAAGGGTTGTCGCGGTTTGCTTTCATTTCTCTAAGAATGCGGGATCGATATCTGCTTGCGGCGTCGACCTCCATAGCTCCTTCTCACACGCTGTGGGCGTGTATTTGTATTTGGTGAAGAGCTTGGAAATTAGACGATGTTAGGCGAGGATGCTATAGCACCCGTGGCGCGTATAGCTATGGGAAAACGGCGTGTTCGTTTGGTCAGGGGTTTGGGAAGAAGTCAATGCTATGTCGACTTGTGTGTGGGATACATCTGTTAGGCAGAGCGCGACGTGAAGAAGAGAAGATGCCCAATATGAAGATGTAGGAATAGAAAAGTGACAATGTTTTGGTGGAGAGAAAGAGACGCCTGTTGAGGTAGAAGTACCTATGAAGCTGTGTTTAGAGTCAGGAAACAAGAGGCCGGGGTCTTGACTGTTTTTGGGCGAAAGTAAACAAAGCGCCCCGAGGCCCACTCCCGCAACTGATACCAGCCACTCGAGGTTGGGATTCACGCTGTTAGAGCCGCTAAGGCAATCAGCGCGTTATGTGATTGGATGAACCCAACTGTCGAACGAAAGCCCTGTCTTCCATCGCGGGGCCGTTTTGGGTTAACGATGCTGCAGGTGCACAGCGCGTCAAGTTTTAGGTTACAGGACGTTTTGTTGCATGAGGTCAACCTAGAGTTTGATATGAGTAAAGGTTTGAAGATTGCCCACAACCAGCTTGAAATTATCGATATTTGACAATTCGGTAATTCTACTCAACCTTGTCATCGGGTTCTTGCTTCTTCGTATGGTAGTATTTTCTGTGGCAGTGTAATTGCGCATCGAACTCTTATCTTGCATCATGAGAAGTGATACACACTCATTCAACAAGAAGTTGACTGATCATGATCAAAGCCGAGCAAACTCAGGGCCAAGATATGAGTGATATCCTGTCAATTAGCCTCAATCCTTCCTTTCTCACCGTCTCTTCAGCCTCTAGTCATTTAAAATCGTTCTAGAATCTTGTGACCTGCTCGATTCGTTTCGTGGTGGGGCAGATCGTCCGTTGTGTTGCACTGTCAGTGTCAGTCTCTGTCTGATAGAGATAACTTTGATCTTTACTTGACATCGTCTCGAGTTCCTGCGTCTTTTTTCTTCTTTCTTTTCTCCGTACACATATTTCACTCGGTTCTTTCTTCTCCTTGGGAGACTGCATTGGCCTTTCTGCACGTAGCTTATCTCATTCCTTGATATACTCCGAAATCGCATAGCCACAATTCATGAGATGGGCAACTCTATTCTATGAGCATTACGAGGCTTGATCGGAGGACTTTTTTTTCTTCGTCTATCGCAGACACAGCTCAAAATCTTGGTTTTAGGTACTAGAACCGCCTATTGTAGCTGCTATGGCCTGGCTTAGAATCATCGCTGGTATCGCTGGCTTGCTCACTATCATCCAGCCCATATCAGCTGCACCCAGCCGTGAGGGCGCTCACAAAGAGTACTGCCCCGTTCTCTATAACGAACCACCAACCAACTGCCGTCCTCTTCCTGAGACATTTTTGACTTTCTCTTCGAAGCCCTCTGATACTACACCAGCAAACACTCAGATTCTTGAGGATGCGCTCAGTGCCCTTTCAACTCTTCAAGACCACTTCTTTGAACCGGATTACGCAACATGGCCATCTGCTATAGACTGGACTGCTGCTGTTGCAGGAACAGTCGTGGCTGGAATGCTCACCACTCTGTCCAAGGCTATCGATTCGGTCGACCTTGCTGGTATTGATGATTGGAGGGTGAAAGAGAACATCATCGCGACTTTCTATGCGCAGCTTGTGGGTTCGTACTTTGGACAAGATGTGCTGTCAATCAGAGGCCAGGTAAGTCGACTCCTATGAGGAACGAAGCTTTTTATCTTATTGACATTTGATGCAGGCTTACGACGACATATTATGGGTCGCTCTTGGCTGGATCGAGGCCATCAAATTCGTGAGAACTCACGCTGATCTTCACTACCCCAAGATAAAATCCGGGGGAGTTTCTGAGAGAAGTAATTTGAGGGAAGTCATCGAATCTATGCCATGGCAGGGCTACAACTGGTTCTCATCTTTTGCGCACCGCTCTCGCATCTTCTGGAACCTGGCAACTCACGGGTGGGAGACAAAGTTCTGCAATGGAGGCATGGTCTGGAATCCTCGCTTGAACCCATACAAAAACGCCATCACGAATGAGCTATGGGTGGCCGCCTCGATCTCCATGTACGAGCACTTTCCTGGCGACAACTTCACTGCACCATGGCTGAACAGTGCTGCATTCCCGGGTAACGACCCTGCACATCTGGAGGCCGCCATGCGAGGGTACAAGTGGCTCATCGATGTCAACATGACCAACTCCCTGGGTCTATTTGTGGATGGATATCACATCGATAGCACCAAGCCCGGTAACACGAATTGCGATCTTCGAGACGAGATGGTGTACACGTACAACCAAGGTGTCTTGCTGACAGGCCAACGAGGTCTGTGGTCTGTCAGTGGAAGCGCATCGTATCTGGAAGATGGGCATCGTCTGATCCAGTCCGTCATCAGAGCTACAGGATGGAATCTGAAGGAGAACAAGCCTGTCGATGATCTGAAACACTTGGGTCCCGGTCAGTTGCCTCCATGGTATGGACTTGGCCGAGGAGGTATCCTGGAAGAGCAGTGCGATGCTAGTAGCACCTGCTCCCAGGACGGCCAGACTTTCAAGGGCATCTTCTTCCATCACTTCACAGCATTCTGTAGTCCTCTTGAACCTCTAGTCGCCAAGCAGGGCAGAACAATCGATCCCCGGGGATACCGACGTGTGAAAGGCATTCATGCAGATGCATGCCAGTCATACTTGGGCTGGGTCAAACATAACGCCCATGCAGCTCTGAAGACTCGCAATGACGATGGCCTTTTTGGCATGTGGTGGGGAGCTGGCATCTATGGTGCTCTCCCAACACTGGATACCGACGGTATCGACCACGCCGCAGAGAACGCAACCGACTACCGCAACCAAGGAACGCCTGATGACGAGACTTGGGGTGGACTTCACCGATGGACTCCAGGTACAGGACACTGGTCACCTTCAGGGCCGAAGTCTGACCAGCATGTTATGGACAGTGTCGGGGAGGACCTTGTACCTCGCGACGGAAGACATTCACCTCGAGAGGTGAAGATGAAGGGACAGGATCCCAATGAACGGGGCCGGGGGCGGACTGTTGAGACACAGGTTGGAGGAATTGCGCTGCTTAGAGCATATTGGGAGCTTTCTCAATCATTTGAACGATGACGATTTCATGTTTATGACTGATAAAATGCGTTTATAGAGTAGACAGCATAGACTGCGATAGAACGATGACGATCTGAACGTATTTGCGTTCGTAACCTTTCAGAGTACCTCTGGATGATGAGTGATCAATGCCCTTCTCCGATCTGAAATCTCGTGCATCGAGATCATCCTATGTCATGATACACGAGCAAAGTGATAAAACATGAAGCTAACATGGTCGCATTCCGATTGAGGAAAACGGCAAATCGGCTTCCCAGAAGCGAGTGCGAATACTATGCAGCAGATAGGCGACACCAGATTGGTTGTGACAACCATCACGAAGATGACGCTAAGCCTTGTTTGGAGATTCATTCGATCTGCTAGTACGTCAGCGGTGGCTGCGCATTCGCATTAGAAGCTGCGCCGTGGAATTTCGAATGAATCTACAATTCGGGAATGGCTTCAATTGAGAGGGAGCAATATCTTAAAGTTATAAGAAGCCATGGTTCGTCGTAGGAGAAAGAATATTCTCATCATCAAACAGACATCTAATACATTCAAGACAACTACCCTACATCACAGACTTTACAATCAAACGAAACACTTAATCACACAATACTCTTTATCCTCAATTACACTCATCATGGGTCTCATCGGTCTTGCAATCTGCGCTATTATGAGCGCCACAGACTCCAAACAGCCTCGCTCAACTGGATGCTGCGGAAGTCGAAAGCAACAAGCCTATCTCGTCCAACAACCTCAACTCACTGGTCCCAACCCCGACTATATGGCCATAAACAGTGGTCGATCTTCATGTCACCAACGCAAGACGGAGCGTCGGTATCAGAAAAAGATGCAACGTGCTGAACGTATGCAACTCCGAGCCGAACAGCGAGCAGAGAGGGATTATCAACGAGCCGAGAGACGCCAAGCGGGTGTTGCCATGATCAAGTCAGGAGCACAGAAGGTTGGCATGATTGGTAGCAGCTCAAGTCAGAATGTTCATGAGACAAGGGAATTTCATGCGGAGCCTAACAATGGCGTCTATGAGCTGGATGCCATGAACCAACAACATGTCGAAAAGGACGCACCGCCTGCATACGACGATGTGGTGAGGAAGTAACAGTATGGGAGGGAATGCTTTAGGAGTTGGAGTTGGAATATGAACATCATGATTAGAACGATATCCGATACATATAAAATACGATAAATAAACGACTTTTCGCATTATAAGACCATCGCATTGTCCAAAGCGCCCTTTCACTAACACGCAGGGCACGCCCTGAAATAGAGACAAATACAAGAGCTGTGGTTGGTGGTGGAACAGGTACAACCTCCGATGTCGAACCCCACGGGCTGTATTCTAGCCCCTCCATTGGGGATAAACATTCACTGAATTGTACGCGGTATTTCAGGGTCTTTACAAGTGACTCTTCTATCTGACGTCTCTAACTTCAATAAATCAGGCCATTGTCCATTTTACCTGCTCAACTCTGAGCAATTTCACTGTAGAACATGGCACGACAATCGGCGTTAGATCGGCGTCCAACGGACTCGGTGAGTCCGCCCAAGCAACATCCGCACCCGCCATATACTTCTTATCTCGCTGTGAGCACCCCACAACTCTACGTCACCCCTGTGCCAATTGACTCACAGCTGGTGTTCAACAAAAATTCAGGTCCGGTCGTTCGGCGGTGACTAGAGAAGAAGGACTAAATACTATTTACCTTTTCCTCACTCCAACCTTTGTTCCTTTTTTTTCACATATTCTCTTCACACATTCCCTCACGATGCCTTCAGCTCACGATCCCATCGTTGCGGTGCCTGCGAACGGCGCCATGAACGGCACTACCAATGGCACAAACGGCGACTCTCATTCTCGGCCGCACACGCCGATGACCGGAATGGCGTTGACAGAGTACAGCGTCAATCCGTCTACACCGTCTGAGGAGAAGCGGGCGCGTATTAAGGAGATTGTGCCTGACGAGTATCTCCTTCCTACAGGATACCCAGATGTGAGTGTAGTATCGCGGCAACGAATCTCAATTGCGAAGCTGACAGTCTCAGTACCTTCGTCTTATCGCCAGCGCCACATCCCGAGTCTACGAGGCCTGCAAGGTCACTCCCCTCACACACGCTATCAACCTCAGCAACCGACTCGAATGCAATGTCCTCCTCAAGCGTGAAGACGAGCAACCCGTATTCAGCTTCAAGCTGCGCGGCGCTTACAACAAGATGGCCCATCTCGACCCAAAGAAGAGCTGGAAGGGTGTTGTGTGCTGTTCTGCCGGTAACCACGCCCAGGGTGTCGCTTTCTCGGCACGTAAGCTCAAGATCCCTGCGACCATTGTCATGCCTGAAGCGACTCCTAGTATCAAGCACTTGAATGTTGCTCGTTTGGGCGGCCATGTTGTGTTGCATGGCGCTGATTTCGATGCGGCCAAGGAGGAGTGCGCGAGAAGAGAGGTGCAAGATGGTCTTATCAACATCCCTCCCTTCGACGATCCCTACGTTATCGCTGGCCAGGGAACCATTGGAAATGAATTGTTTGGCCAGGTTAACATGGCCAAGGTGGAGGCTATCTTCTGCGGTGTCGGCGGTGGTGGTCTCATTGCCGGAATTGGTCTGTATGTCAAGCGCATGGCTCCTCACGTCAAGATCATCGGTGTTGAAGCCCACGACGCCAACGCCATGGCGCAGTCGTTGAAGGCGGGAGAGCGGGTATTGCTCAAGGAGGTGGGCCTGTTCGCAGATGGTGCTGCCGTCAAGATTCCTGGAGAAGAGACATTCCGCATCTGCAAGGAGGTTATCGACGACGTTGTTGAAGTGACGACCGACGAGATCTGCGCCGCTATCAAGGACATGTACGACGACACCCGATCTGGCCTCGAGCCCGCTGGAGCCCTCTCCATCGCCGGTCTCAAGAAATACGTCTCCCAGAACCCCTCAAACGACTCGAAGCGAAACCTCATTGCCGTCACATCAGGCGCCAACATGAACTTTGACCGTCTGAGATTCGTCGCTGAGCGTGCCACCATGGGTGAGGGTAAGGAGGCTTTGCTTGCCGTGCAGATTCCCGAACAACCTGGAGCATTCTCCGAGCTCATCAACAACATCATGCCCCATGCCGTTACCGAGTTTACCTACCGATACTCGACAGACGAAGTCGCCAACATCCTCATTGGTGTGTCTCTGACCGCTCCCGCCCACCAGCGATCAGAGGAACTCCGCTCTCTCATGGACCGCATCCAATCCAACAACATGAACGTAACCGATCTATCACAAGATGAGCTTGCAAAGAGTCACATTCGATACCTCGTCGGCGGTCGATCCGGCGTTCCCAACGAGCGACTATACATGTTCACCTTCCCCGAGAGACCTGGAGCCCTCGAGAAGTTCCTCGTGACACTTCGACCCAAGTTCAACATCAGCCTGTTCCAGTACCGCAACTACGGCGGTGATGTGGGTAAGATTGTTACTGGCATCTTATGTCCTGACGACGAGGTTCCTGAGCTGGAGTCATTTTTGCGCAAGATCGGATACCCCTATGAAGACTGCACCAACTCCCAAGTGTTCAAGACATTCCTGCGAACTTAGAGCGAGTTGACGAGAAGGCATGAATATCTGGGTCGTGTAATATTCGGCGTTAGGTTCATAAAAGGTGATGTTCAGTTCTGTAAAAGACGGCTGTTGTTATTTGGGTCACAGATTTAGCGAATTTGAACGAAACGATGTAGACTGGAATTATGTGCATGGGACATTCAATATAGAAATGGACTGAAGAGTACACCTGAGCTGATTTGTTTGAAGCTTTATTACCGAGGTTGTGAATGTGCTGCAATACATTATACCGTGAATACGCGGGGAGGTCTGCCGCTCATATCCACTTGCATTATTGCCGCAACCGTTTCAGGGGCATGCTCATGTATATCTAGTCGAGTCCATCCGTAATCCCAGTGGCAATTCATTTATTCTTTGATGGGTACGCAGACCATATGCTCACCACTATCGTTGTGATGATGGTCATCTGTGTTGCTGGAGCATTCAACCTCATCATCGTATTCAAACAGCATCCCTCTGCATAAACCCGTGGTTTTGCAAGTAAATACATCAATCCGGGTGGTCCCCTGGAGAGGTACCTGGGTTTGGAGAAGAGTACAGCGGCAGCTGTGGGTTATTGTTGATGATGTTGTGGGAGGGAATCGACGTATAGAGTGTGCGTTAGGTTTAGATGATCTTGCTGCCACCGCGAGAAGCATTTGTTCATCTTCAGTGGCAGGTATATCATATATAAGAAACTCTGGTATAATATCACAGGTGTAATCCTTATTAAGGACGAGGGCGAAGTCAGGGTGAACGGGCCTGAACTGAGGGCCGATGACAATATCACCAGCAAGTTTAGTGCGAACCTTGTTCAATCAGCTATTATATTTTGCACCTCGCGAAAATGAGACTTACCAGAACAGAGGGTGAAGTGAATACATTATCCATACCACTTGTTCGTATGCCTGATCCGACGAGGCGATCATTAGGCGAGATAGGGACATTTGCCCAAACCGCATGCTTTCGAGCGTGTTCCAGCAAACGCGCGTATGTCGTCAACGCAGTTGGGAAGCGAGAGGTATGAGAATGAATAGCCCGCAGAGAAGACCCGACGTAGAACAAGGTGAGGCCCCTGGTGCTGCGCAAGTCCAGTGTGCGCAGACGCATATCACATAATCTCTCGTTATCACACGGGGCGAAGAATGACAACTTACCTGACCGAGGAGGATTCGGTGTATCCCACATAACTGACTTGCCATTCCCTGACAGCTTGATACGAGCTACCCCAATCTAAATCAATGATTAGTATTTCGAATAATCAACATGACAGAGGTTGTGCCACATACTCTGAAATCAACACCACTTGTCCTTGCTTGATCTGGCGGTATCAGGGCGTAGGAAGGGAGGCCAACGAGTCTTTCAGTCTTCCGTATACCGCGGCGATCTTTCGTGACCCGTATACCCCAATCCCCAGCAGTGCTGTCGCTTATCACAGGTGCACCCTCACCCCTAGTCCAAGACTCGACTCTGTCAAGCATACAAGACTGGGAGTCATCTTGGCCAGCTGCAGATGAAATTCCTTCTGCAAGATCTTTGATAGCCAAGTAGGCCCAAACCTCACTATCAGGAGACATGGACCTGATATCTTGGACAAGGGTTGGGTGCAGCAGAGCCAGCTACGGCATTCCCAACGCTTCGGCAATAGAGGGGCTCACTGATACGATGCTGATGTCCTCCAATTCGAAGCCATGCTGTGGATTGAGGTCATGTTTCCACGGACGTCTCCATTCTGTGGCAATCCATACACCGTTGAGGGGATTATCTTGCGTGTAGTGCTGAAGGAAGAGTTGGTAACAGGACGCATGCATCGTTGCAGCTTCATGTGACCGAGAACATGCAACATGCCGGCAAAGAGGCCACTTTTCTCCGTCAAGCTTAGTCACGCCATCGCCGGCGGGAAATCTGAATAACTTGGTGCAACATGAAGGGCGAATAGAGGTCTCACATGTTACTATAAGGTGGTTGATGTATTAGCAATGGCATGGGTCTATGGTAGCCCAGATCTCTCTCATGATACGTACTGGCAATGGCCAAATCCTCTGGTGTTATATCGCCAAGGCAAAGGTCACATTGGTTCTACAGGCAGATGTGCCTTTCGTCCTCTTCCTCTTCAACGCCAGGCTCAGGCCAGTACAAGGGTTCACCATCAAAATTATCCGCAAAAGCCTCATAGTCGTAGTAATCACCCTCTTCGCTCAAATTACCGGGGGGACTGAGGTGCATCTGGTAAGCTGGGATCGGACATATCGCGACTGCTGAAATTCAAGAATTTATTCCAAAGAAAGGTAAAAAGGGGCTCTTGTATGAAGGTATACTTTGTAGAAACTATAGACACCGATGCTTAGAAGGGGGTTGCTGAGAACGAAAAGAACGCTGAAGGACAGGAATGTAGCGGGTAATTAATGCTGAATTACAGGAGTCTTCATGTGAACCTCCACTGAGGCTGTCTTTAATATCCATCCATCCAATGGGCGACATTATTCTTGAGCCATCTGGTTCAGGGCTGTACGATATGTCATATATCACGTTTTTATCAGAGAGAAGAAGTGCTTTTTAGATATCCATTAAAAAGACAAGAAGGGCCTTAGTCTTGTGGTAGACTTATGAACTTACCATTGCTGTATTAAATCCTCTATCGTTATAAACTCTTGAGACCTGGGAGTGTATGTATACAGTTCGGTTGTTACATCGTTACACCAAACCTGAGCGTACACTCCGAAATCTGAACACGTCCAAGCCCCGTCAGGAGACGCATGATCATAATGAGGATCACCCGTCTCCGGACAACATTCAAGTTCATAATATTTGTGCACATCAAAGTCCCCCCCCTGAACCTTGCGGTAGCAGAACGACACGGGTTTGTGACAAACAGTGACCGGGTCAACCCCTACTCGGCATTGTCCTGCAGTCCTCTGCGAACCATTCTCATACTCAAGAAGAAAACCTCTGAAGCATCCAGTGGAGCTATCCTTGAAGATATCAACTCGGACAGTGCCTTTCAGTGAAATGTCCACTGTAATAGCATTGCCACCATACGCCAACTCGTAAGGCGAGAGGGAGATAACAGGAAATCTAGGGGCGGGGAGCGTCTCCTGAGGTTCGTCACCTGCTATACCTAACAGTGTAATTCCACCCTTTCCTGGCGTATTGTGAACAAGAACAGTGGGCGTTCCTTGAAACAAGAAATTCTGATCTTCCATATCGAAACTTGGACCGAGAGAGAAGTCGCCAGCAAGCTTCGTGGTCATCTAGGCACCCAGTCAGTATCAAGAAGCCACATCAGAAACCGGAACTAACCAATAAAGCTGTGTGATGGTTCGCCGGTTCCTCGTGTTCATTTCTCCAAGTCCGTAGGCCAAACCTCATAATATGATCGCCATGTGGTATGGGAATGTGAATCCATACTAAATGGGGCTCATAATCTGAAAGGGTGTCCTTAACAGTAGACACCGCTGTCACGGCTCCGAGGGTGTGAGCATGGAGTCCCATCAAAGTGCCCCGGTAGAAAAAGAACGCAATGCCCGTAATGTTGCGTAGATCGAGGGTGCGATTGCAAGTAGCATCTGTACGACGTGGTCTTAAGAGAACCTCAAGCCCTTTCGTGGGCGGACTTGGTATGTCCCAAATTTGAAAAGTCCTTGGCCATGAGGGACTCAGTATCATCCGTGCATATCCAAACTGTTTCCCCATTGTCAGTGGCACTACAAGACAGGAAATGATGCGAGATTGAGGACTTACTTTGAAATATACCCAAGTACGTTGCGCTTCAGCACAATCAATAAAGAAATATTTGTGAGTTCGGCATCGACAGCTCTTATACTCGGGCCAGTCTGAGAGTCTTTCTATGTCTAGTAGCCCGTTAGAGTCGAGGGTGAACCGGAACACACCAGACTCAGGCGCATCCTCGTCGAGCTCAGCATCTTGCCCTCGATGCCATTCTTTCACAATCCTGAGGTTGTACTGCATACCGTGGTCCTTGGAAATGCTCTCATCAAACCTTGCCATTTCCTCTGCTTTGGCTTTGATTGCCGGATAGGTTCAGACAAAACTTCCACGTGAATAAGCTCTAATGAGCTGAAGAACCTCGGATGGCAGAGTTGTGAGTTGCGGCAAGCCCAAGATTTCTGCAGTGGAAAGACTAATCGATACTAGTCCGTTGTCGACAATATCAAGTTGTGTCCTTGGTTTTAAAGAAGATACAATCCAGGGAGTCCTCCAGACTGCTGCAACCCAGAGTCGTTCTAATACTGGCTTCTCGCGGTATGTCTGTAGAAACAAACAATAACAATCCGCATGCAACGTCACAGACTCAGGAGACCAACTGCAGTCTCGACATTCTACAAGGTTACATAAGGGGAACCAGTCAGTATTCGTGATGGCTCCTGGTGTTCGAGGGAACCGGAATCTTTTTGTGCAGTACTCAGGCCGACCTTCATACATTTTCATGTGGTGGTTTAGCACTGTGGTAAATAGAATAGATATGTTAATAACACTGAAAATGTCATCTTCAGAAGAAATCATTGAGGCGCTTGGTCAAACTCACATGCTATAGCCCATTCGTCTGGGTGAATGGTCTGACAGCAGAGGCCACATTCTGATCGGATACGTAAATGTGTTTCATCAAAATGTGGAATGTCCTCATCCCAATCAACTATCTCTGCATCCATTTCAAAGCACGAATGAACCGCTTTATCAGTAAATGGCGAGATGACCCTTTGCCAATAATGGAATGAAAGGCGGCGATGAGTTCCTCAAGAGAAGAACGAATCTTTGCTCGTCAAGTCCTTGGGTCGAAAGTCTAAGCTTCGTCAAAGGAGAAATTGCTGTTGATAGCGCAGGCGCGAGTAAGAGATATCCTAAATGCTTGATTTGTGTTTTGCGAAATGAAAACGACGATTGAGAAGCTGAGTTTTGGTCGATTATATATATGTTGTTGGCAACCCCACTTTGGGGGTGCCATTTACACCAGAAGGATGCGATGTAATTGCACCAAGGACAGACATTGTTGGGTCATAGAGTGGCTGTGATGTGGCTGGTAATGCTGCTTGTATGTGTATCAAACAGTAGAATGAAGTACATCGGTCAGTAACCAAAAAAGCTTCTTATCGAGAGAGGAGAAAGAAGTCAATCTTCTTTACTCATCGTCCTCTTCCTCATCTGCTCGAGTATACATACCAAAGCTGGCTGTCTTGTGCTCGCACGCGAACTCAAGATACCCTCCTCCTCGTGGACGCATACATACCCAATCACCAATGTCGCGAGGTTCACGCTCGTGGCTATTCGTGCCAGTCGTACACTCAACTATACAACTTCCGGTTTCCTCGCATGTTTCTGGATCACATATATCACGGTAACAGATCCAGGAGGGCTTCCCGTAAGCCTTGAAAGGGTCAACCCCGATTCGGCATTGCCCTACTGCCCGCTGCGCACCGCTTGCATACTCCAGGAGCAATCCTTTACAATATCCATTCCTACGGTTGTAATAGACATTAGCATGAGTGATATCTTTCGCTGGAACTTTAGTGTTGATATAGCGCAGACCGGAGGGATCCTTATCGTCTTTGTGGTAGCGAGGAAACGAAAATAAGGATTCACTCTCAAAGTTATGCTCGGTAACTATGCCGAGTGAACCGCCTACTCGCTTAGTTGGTACGTTATGAACAAGCACAGGTGGCTCATTGCCCGATGCATCGTCAGTGTCAGTATAACATTGGTAAGGGCCAAAGAGGAAGGTCCCTGTGAGTTTGGTGCATATCTACTGGTGTGAGAAACATTGCCAAGAGATTAGATGATACGCAAACTTACCTCTATATGTCTTTGCCAGGCATCCCCCACGCCGATCCGAAGGAGGTTATCAGTACTGGATATAGGGATGTACGTCCATATCATATGGTCTTGTTCATATCGAGAGAAATGTTGTATAGTTGGCGCTGCAACTGGTGAGTTCGCTGTGTGGGGGTGAACTGCCATTATGAAACATCTCAGAAAGAAGAAGGTAAGTCCTGTGGTATTGAGGAGATCGACAGTGCGGTATCGGATGGAACCTGGACGATCCGGCCTCGTTAACATTTTCAATCCTCTCAAGGGAGGGCTAGGTGTGTCCCAGAATTGGAAGTCTCGAAAGCCATGAGGATTCTCGATGAATGCTCGCCCAAACTTGTTTAGTATTAATAAAGGTTCCCATGAAGTCAAGAGACTACTAACGTTTGAAGAAATGAAAGAGCTATTTGCTTGTGCTTGTGTAAAGAAAACGTATGCGCAAGTGTTGGACCGAATGTGGTTATACTCTGGCCAATCCTATAACCTTTGGATCTCCTTCAAGCCAAGACAGTCAACAGTAAGTCTGACGATGAATAACTCTGATTCACTCTCATCACAAGCAGCATCCATCCCTTGCACTCCACGTTTCCAAGCTTTCACTGCTGCCAGAGAGAAGCAAGTAGCATCTTGTTCAGGCTCGAAGGGGTTTTGGAAGGGTCGTGACATCTCCTCAGCAGTGCTTTGGATGAGAGAATATCGCCAGAGGAGATTACTGGGAATATAGGACCTGACCATTTGGAGCACTTCTTGCGGCAAAGACGCCAGACCTGGGATGCAAATGGACTCGGCAACTGGTCCTCCTATTGACACCAACGTCGTATCAGCGAGATCAAGTCGAGGCTTGCGCTGGGGAGGTCGGTGTCGCCATGGGAACTTCCATGCTGAAGCGACCCATATAGGGTCCATGGCATCTTCCCGATGATAAGATTACTGAAAAACACGATAGCGATTCGTATGTATTGTCACAGATAGATGAGCCATATCGCACGTCTTGCATTGAAGACGTTGACACAGGGTCAACTCGTCTACCGATTTAATGGCTTCCCGAGACTTTGGAAATCGGAACTTCTTCGTCAAATATAAGGGGCTGAGACAATCCTCGTTCCCCAGCACTATAACTCCGACGTTAGATCGACAGACCCGTGGAAGAATATAGAGCGGTTTTCTATTCTCACAGGCCACAGTCCACTCGTTGGCATGAATAATTTGATCACAAAGTCCGCATTCTGGCGTGATGTAGACATGTACTTTTGTCTTGGCGCTCGAATCATTCATTCTATCCAAGTACATCACCTCTTCTATGCTACTAGGACTGTCCATCGTTTCTAGATCCATGTTTGTGTTGCAACCAGCTTCTTGTCTTCGAGACGATGAATTATAAAAGAAAGATAGAAATAGGTATCTACTCTTGACTGATGCCGGGAAGTAAGGCACAGTCTTAGGGAGATGATCAACTGAGGTTAGTACCAATTGGATGTTCTTTTATGGAAAGCCGTAACAGCTAGGTAGCTGCTGACATCCTGAAGGTACCTACCCTCGAAGTAGTCCCTCCCTGTCGCAACACAGCCACAAACAGCAGCCACAAGCCCCTATGAATGATAATGATAAACTCAGATCAAGCAAGCCATAAGAGTTAAAAGATTTCTTTTGTGATATTACGCTAAAGTCCTATTATTTAAGATTTGCAGGCTTTCCATTACTATCCTCTATCTGAGAGTTTACGATGAGATCAGCAGGCTGTATACATAAGAGGACTGCGCGGATCCCACATTACAGGTTCATGGAGACATGGAGCAGAGGTTGGTCACGACGGGGTTAGAGACAGTCTCCTTAGCTAATAAGTTGATCGGTCTGGCAGGGAGCTGAGGCAACTTTATAAGTCCATCTCTATGAGTATTGTCCTTGATGCCTGCTCATCATGCATAATCTCTAAGACCTATCCTTACGCAAGGTTTTCCCACGGGGCTAAGCTGTCATACGGTTGGCAGATCGCCGACTTGCAACTTAATAGCCAAGCTGAATGTAGCTGGAGATGGAACACAACTAGATCTCAATCATCAAAACTGGCATAACTTATCCCATGTCGTCAATACTGGCCCACGCTTTAGGTGGAAAATCATGCTTTTAATAGTAATGCCAACCCCTATGAAGTCTGACATGTATCTTCGTTTACATCCTGTCGCTCCATATTCTTGCCTGCTGCCATCCGACTTAAGCCTCCTTCTGCTCACTAGCGTTCTGCTGCTCACTCTGACCCTGAAGGCCGAGGTGGTATGCGTGGATGATCGAGTCTGCGTCGTCGATGGCAAGTGGACGAACGAAAGAAAGACCTCTGTTAGCTCCTCAACACTAAAAATGCAAAAATACTGAACAGGGGATGGTTGCTCACTATCGGCCATTTGCTTGATCTTGGCGGTACTATTTCGGACATGTCAGTCAACTTCATCCAGTGGCTTCAGTTTCTCTCTCAAGCTCATGAACGTACACTTCCTTGATTTGGTCATCAGTTTCAAAGCCGCCAGGTCCATCCAGACCCAATTGAGAACTAAGACGAGTTAGTCGTTTTACCCATGCGGAAACATCACCGATACCCATTGAGGCACGATTTGGGAACTGGGGGAAACAAACATTCTGCCCTTGACGGCGTTCCATCCGGTGATTCTTGAGGTAATGTTGACATAACGAGTCACTACGAAGTTAGTTGGCTTTTATTCAAGCCTAAAGGGGAAAGGGGTAGGATCATACGTCCAAACAGCGCAGGGTCAATAATCTATCATCTGTTAGCAATTTCACCACCATTAGTAAAAGAAGACAAGAGTTACCTCGTAAGTAGAGGGGTTCGCCAGAATAGCTACGAAAAGTCAGTTCTGGGTCAAAGGAAGGTAAATTGCAGCTCTATCCATACCCTTGGCGTGAATACCGGCCTTGTGCGTGAAAGCCTGCGCGCGTTAGCTATTGCGGATGAAAGCGGGACTTGGAGGAGCGTACACAGAAGCCAGTGATGGGATTGTTGAAAGGGATGTTGACTTGAACGACACTTGCAACATACTCCTCAATCTCCTTGAGCTTGGGAAGCTTGTAGTGTGTCTTGGTGTACTCTGGTGCAGTCACGACCATGCGAGCCATCAATGCACCCCTGAAGTAAGTTGTTAGTTGAATTCAGCGGTGCTGCTGTTGTCACGATGCTTACAATGGAGTGATTCCGTTTCCTATGAGGTCTCAAGTCAGTGACAGTTATTTCGACGTTGATTAACACACTCACGTTCACCGATACCAAGAACTGATGTATCAACGTGCGTAGCTCCTCCTTCAAGGGCGGTGACAGCGTTCCTAAACAGAGTGTAAGCCGGAGACTATTGCTCAATCGTGCCAAAGGGCTATCTTACGCAACTGCGCAGCCAGTATCGTCGTGGAAATGTGTCTCTATAGATGTGTTAGTGGAGCAGCGTGTGTGAGAGAGAGGGTGACATGCCGATGTCACATCCGACCACGCCTGGGCACTGTTAGCTCTTGTATCTTGAATTCTGTCGCTGGCTATCGTCTACTTGCCTCGGAGCGTTCGGACGAGATCGTAGACCATTCGTGGGGTAGCGCCTCCCACAGTATCAGCAATGCCAACGCGGTTCACACCAGCCTTGTCACTAAAGAGAGTCAGCAAATGCTGCTTTGCTGTGATGTAGACGCTCCAACATACACAGCCTTATAGAGGGCAAGGATGTCGACGAGATCGGATCGGAAAGAATCTTCGGACGAGAAACGGACTTCAACTCCTTGCCTGTTGCAGCTTAGTACCATATTCGCTTGTAGACAGCTCATAGAGCAACTTACGACTTGACATATTCGATAACCTCAATGGCAGTCTTCTGGATCATTTCCATACTCTTGCCATGTGAATACTCACGCAAAAAGGACGAGGTACCGATGACTAAATCAACACCGTCCACTCCGCATTCCTAATTTTGTGTTATGAAGCTATCGTGACCGGAAGTTTGAGCTCGACTTACCACCGCGCGCTTGGCATCATCCACTAACGAGTTGTTAGCATGAGAATTGACCTCGATCAGGAGGTGAGATGTGAAGAAGGGTACCGACTGTTACATCGCACATGTGTCAGGATCTTGGCCTATACTGTAATGTTAGCAATAATGTCAACAATTCTCATTAGCAGTAGTTACTAACCTTAAGGCCAAGCGAGCAAATGTGCTTGCAGTCATCATATGAGGCTTGTGAGCTGACTGGGCTTGTGAGCTCAATGTAGTCAACACCGAAGTCGCTTTTTGGTTCTGCTTTTAGTAACGAGATCATTCAATGGCTAACCTTGAGGAGGACGAGTGCATACCTGAGCATGGTCGCAATCTTGACCTTGTTCTCTCTTGTGAAGAACGCATTGCTGAATTGCTCTCCCTCACGAAGAGTAGACTCAATGATCCTTTATTCGTCAGATTGAACACTTGCACAGTGGTAGAATGGACTCACTTGTATCTGTTGGTGTTGCTCAGGAAGTCCTGGACCTGGCTGTAGACCGATGTTGCTGGGTTATTGGCATTCTGGGCTGGGTGCGGGGCAGCCCCGACTGATCCATTCTCGGTACCGCACATTGTGCAGGATTAGATGATTGCAGGCTTCTATTTAGCTTTCTTCTGAAGTTGTGAGGTCGATAAACAGGCAATCGACGTTATGGATGTGGAGGATTATTCGTGATAAATATTGGAGGTGGGGAGGCCAAAAGGTTAGAAGTTGCCGGTTCCGCTCATGAGTCAGCCAGGGTCTCGCTTGAATTGGTGCGCGGGGAACCGCTAATTAAGCCAATTGGAAATCTCCTTTTACAGCAAGCTTTTCTTTGCAATGACGTACAGAAAGTTGCCCCGCCAAACCTTGCTCCGAAGTCGCTTCAGCACTTCAATTATCCGGCACTTGCGTCTAAAACGAATGCCAATCTTCTATTTTATATTAACACGCCACAAGCAGAATATTAACGGTGCACTATAACATGAGAGTTTTCAACATTGCATATTTACTTTATGTCAGTTTGGTTGGCGTTCAATGGGCCTAAAGTCATAGCTCGATCTATTAAATCAGGTACATTTACACATGGTGAGGCACGTGACCAATCGCATACAAGAACAGAAAAAGTGAAATCAGTAAAGAAAAACAGTGATCTACATAGTAAACTGTGGGGAATCTGTTGTATCATAAAGTTTCTCGATCTTTTACTTGGTAAAGCGGAATAGCAGGGATACAGTCATCATTGCTTGGAAGCATATCCTGATAGCCTCCAGTTGCAAGAAACCCATGAAGAATCTCCAAGTCATTGCCCCCAAATCCTCTCTAAATCCCCAGGTTAGAAAGATTGTATATCCCAATATTTTCTTTTCTTTTTTTTTTTCGGCAGTTTGCGTGTTACGTCATGTACGTCCATGTGGCTGACTGTATATCGAGCCTGCGTAGATGCTTCTAACTGTTTGCCTACTTAGTACCTCTTAAAACTGATACGATCGTCTCAAAGAAGATACCTTGTACGTTTTAGTTGTATGGCAGAGCTTTCCCGGATGTTGTAGTGTAGTATTGATCAGGACCTCGCAATGTACATCAAGAATCCGAAATTCAAATAGTTGATGAAAAGCAAGAGAAAACTCATTGGCTCGAACCACGAGATCTGATCGCGATCGCAGAGAGCTTCGGATCTGTTCGGTATATCCCAGGACAATCATACTACTTGCTAACAGAAACCTCTAATGCTATCTCGAGAGCTGAAAAGTCCTGGTTTCTTTGCTTCTGCTGCCATTCTTGGCTAAGTCAGCAAACGCAGCGGTCTGGGAGCATCCCATTGTAGCGTGGGCGTGAATACTGTAGAGTCTGTGTCGAAAAAAGAAAAAGGCGAGGCTATTAGTACCATCAAAGCGGATAGTGCGAAGAATGGACGTCAGTCTTGGGCGAAATACACGTGCAGGCGGTGTTCGCTATGAGGCAACTGGTCTCTGGCTACTTCGGATAACCCCCAACACAAAACACCAAGAACGGGCAGCAGATGTTGGTGAGGATCTTCACTTCGTTGTTCTATGCCGGCTACTTCATATACTGTGGTCACGTCCTCCGGCTCCCGTCCATCGACATCGCTATGGGGATAATGTGAAATAGTATATACAGGAGGGATTTGGCTTCCATTTCCATGTGATGATCTGTAGACTTGGATCCAGAATCCAACGAGCACTTCCATACCTGTGACCTCGACAGCATGGATTTCATCTCTACCAAATTTGGCAATCTTGGAAGCACAGTGAGCAGCCATGGCTTGCTTGGTTGAGCCTTGGGAACCTCAGTGCTCAAAGACACATGGAAGACTCATGAAGGACAGCAAAGCTCTCCGACTGCGAACCGGGCATTTCATATTAAGAACCCGACCAGAACACCAACCATGAAACGTAGGATCTGAACGATTATCGAAGTATAGTCGTGCTTTTCGGATGTTCTCCTCTGAGCCAAGAGACGAATTTTAGTATGGGTAGGTATATCTTATATCTATAAAGCCGCTGGAACCGTCTTCAGAGGCCTGAATCGCGAGTCCTTGAATGGTACAAAACTGCAAGAGCGGGCTAGCTGCTGAGTATTCTGCAACTGTCTAGATCGTCTTTGGAGTAAATCTGGCCAATTGGGAGCATCCGAGTGCATCTGAGACAGCCGAACCGGATATCTTATGGTGTTCTGGTTCAAGACATAAACGATAAACACTGTGGCTCTTCCATAGCATTTTCCCAAGGCATCTGCCAAACAGTTAGGACAGGTGTGGTTAATCGAAATTGAAGAAGTGTCAATCAACTAATCTAGGGACCTAGGTAGCTGCCATAAACAATCTCAGGAGGCTGCTTCTTTCTGGCGCATGTTTAAGGTAGGACCTACATTGGGTTTAATGACCTGAAAATACGACTTGGCCTACAATAATTCATTCCTTCTTCTCCTTCTTCTAGCGAGTTTCCATGACCAGGGCAAGGTGGTCATTGCGTTGCCTGACCGCTGTCCCTGGGTCAGTGCTACCTTCTAGAAAGATCACAGCTAGGAACCCTGCGTGGGTGGCCTCAAAACTTTTAGAGACCCTGTCTCAGACAACCGATACTGAAAAGAATTACATATTTGCTCGTGATTCAGCAATTCTTTAGGCGACAGAAGAAGCAATTGATGCAGGTCGCCCTACAAGGCTGCAGTTTTCTCATGACAATCGCTGCATGTTTTCTGCAGACTGATCTGATGGGGTTACTGACAGCCCGCAGACGTGAAACACCATGACGAAACGTTTCACAAAATGATTCCGCAGAGCTTTCTATCTATTACATATTGCAGGGATCTCCCTCCGACAAGCTGCCGCATCTGGCATTGACATTGGCATGGCGATGCGAACGTGCCTGAATGAAGCTGCAAATTATCAAGCCATGTATCTATTTTCAGCCACAGGCAACGCTAACTGTCGCAGCATCTGCATGACAAGAGGTCAATGCAAAAGGGAAGCTCTTGACAAAACACTCATCAAAATGACAGTACTGTACAGTTATCACGACATGTATCAAACTTCTCAAACCGAACTCCCACGGCCAAGTTTCCTCGCAGCTTGCCGAGGCAAATGACAACCATATCGGATATATCACCAAAATCATGGTCTTCTGACCGATAGCATAACATGGCTGGCCCCTTTCCCGGCAGGCTGGAGGCTGGCTGCACGGATCCGACGATCAGGATCGACATATACGTAGCAGAGGGGGGGAAATGATGACGGCAGAAGACGAACACTACTAACCCTAAAAGACCATGGCTCACCGTCAACCACGGCTTCGTCAAACTGATGGGACATTTTTAATTAGGTTGGTATTGGTCATGCATGGATTACTGTATGGAATCAAGAGCAGCAAGCTACCGGGTCGCTTCCGCAGCATCAGCTCTCACGCAGGTTGTTTTTGGTCAGATTATTTCCCCCCTGCCAAACATCAAAGAAAGGTACCAGTGAACCGTTAAGCGCCCTGTGCGCGCTCGGTCATCTGCGCTTGGTGCCGCTCGCTAGTGAGGATGAGAAGACCATTACCGGGGTCCTTGAAAGGGTTTGGTCAAGGTCCATGACGAGCAGCAACAGCACATCGCATCCCACTGAAGCTTTATCGAAGCATCCACCGAAGCGCCTCAACGCACTGACCCTCAGGTTTCTTCCCAACAGCAGCTCCGGGGCTGGCTCCGTTTCACTTTGTGATGGGATGTCCACTGCCCTAAGGCGCCACTAACTTAGGTACAGGGCAATAAGTTGCTAAGGTAGCTGGTACTGCGACTATCTTAGCTACATGCGCTTGTGCCAAGGTACCGGCACCACCACGCGGGCAGCCCAGGGCATCTCAGTTTATCAACAGTCGCATCATTGCGAGAGTCAATTTCTGTGCCGCTCGGTGATTAACCAAAGTTTGACTCTCGAAACCGTTCTTTTCCCGTTGAATTGCTTGCATTACCGATGCTTGCTTGCTTGCTTTTGGCTTGCTCATATTTCTCCACTCAAAGCTTCACTTTCACAGGGGCCCTTGTTCTTTTGCTCGCTTCTTACACGCTCCTTCACCGTGTGTGACGGCACTGCCCGCCCGCCCAGCTAAATCAGTATAGTATAGTACCTACAGTGCTGTATGTAGGTACTTACCTACCCCACACCAAGCTTTCCTTGTGCGTGTGAGTGGGCGTGTCGAATGCAAGAGGGGCCTTCTGTGTCGTGGTCGTGCTCTTGAGTGGGCGTCGTTCATGTGGCGGCCAGAACTGGCACTGGAATCCATCTTTTCCCATGCGGATCTATCTATCTCCTACTGTACATGCTCCTTGACTTGACCTGACTTGACCTCCCTCAACCGATTTCCTCTTCGAGCTTCGCCAATTGCCACTCTCACAATAGCTTCCTTGTCGCTTCTTGACAGCTCCCCACCAGCTTTCTTCTTCTTTAACCTCTCCCCGTGAGCATCAGATAAGCTTCGTTTCTTGGCTTCCGCTCAAGCTTTGGTAAGTCCCAACACGAGTCTCCATTCTTTGTCTGCCATCCGTCATCGCTCACACTCCTTGAAAGCCACCTTCGATCTATCCACGCGATCATTCTTGACGTTCAGCATCTACGCCTTTACCTACACAACAGCTCGCTCCTTGTTCTCGTGTTACGAAAAAGATCCAAACCGCCGCCTTGGAACCCTGTGCGACTTCTACCTTGACATTCGGTCTGTGACTGCAGCTTTTACGCCCTCTACCTATCACGGGGCCCACGGATCGAGCCTGGGTTTCAGTACAAGCCTTTTGTGCGTCCATATTTCAAGCCCCTGTCGGCAAAACGATTGCACGAAAGCGATCATCTTATTCTCCTCAAGGATTGCTTCTCAACGTCACACCGGAGCATGACTGGACCTTGATCCACTCTCCAAGTTTCACTTGACATTTCCGCGCCATAACCTGAGAAATACAAAGCCAGGAACAAAGAACAAAGGTCAAGAAACTGTCACCCTCAGCTGCGGCGGCGGCTCGAGAGCTTGCTGGAGGGGAGGCAATTGTCCTCGTCGTTGCGATTCCGCTGACTTCTAGCAACACCGCTCTTTGCCAAACCTGGAACCATGAGGCGAGGTCGTTCACCAAGCTCGCCATCGCCTTATAGGGCTTTGGCTCATCATCAGCAGGCCTCGGCTGCTGCGACATCTTCAGACTCGATTTCATTGATTCGGTCTTTCAATGTCGAAACAAATCCAACGCGGCCAGTGCGGCCTTCGCCGCTCACAGCATCGCTTATCCGAGACATGCCGCTAGACCTGGTTGACCGCATCAGATCCTTCCCTCTCTTTATGTCAGCTCCGGAAGAGTTTCTTGTTGCTATAGGAAATCACCTGAAGCCTCAAATCCAAAGCCCCAATGACCACATCGTGACGGAAGGAGACGAAGCCAAGGCAATGTATTGGTTGGTTCGAGGAGTAGTTGCTGTCACTTCGCGTGACGGTGAGGCGGTCTATGCTGAGCTCAATCCCGGTTCGTTCTTTGGAGAAATCGGTGTTTTGATGCAGATGCCTCGAACAGCTACTATTGTAGCGCGTACGAAGTGTCTGTTGCTAGTGCTTAAGAAAGAGGATTTACATGCCGTGATACCCAAATTCCCAGAAATGGAGAAGGCGATCCGGGAAGAGGCACAGGAACGCTTGAACCTCCTGAAAAAGAAGCGGCAAGAGAGTGGAAGATTGGTCAAATCCCCCCAGGGAGACTTCAGCGCTCGAGAACCCGCTCCTGGAGAGGTTTCTACTGGAGAAAGGGGCGCTATCAAGGACGGTGCGGTCGTCAACAACAAGAAAAGAAAGTCCCCAAGCCCTGGAATCATGGAGGACCCAGCTGCTGGTAGTGCGATTGGAAGCGGTCAAATCAATATTCGAACAACACTTAAGGAGTTACCGCTCTTCTCTACACTTCCTGCAGATATTCTGCATTTCTTGGGATTGAGTGTTCAACCGAAATCCTATACCCCGTTTACAGATATCGTTCGCCAAGGCTTACCAGGAAACGAAATTTTCTTCATTGTTCGTGGCGAGGCGGAGGTTATTCACGATGAGCCAGTTTACGACGATAACATTCAGAACAAGGCCAAGGCTATCCCAAAACGGCCTCGATTGAAGGCAGGTCAATATTTCGGCGAAGTTGCAAGTCTTGGATTGTCGCGTGGTCGAACAGCCACTGTAAGATCTATCACTTCTGTGGAATGTATCATGATCACAGGCGATGTCCTCGACGAGTTCTGGAGACGCTGCCCTTCAGACATCCTGAAACAGGTTAAAGAAACTGCACGATTGCGATATCAGAAACAGAGCGACGATGTTGTTATGGTTGATGTTGATGTTAAGGAAAAGGTCAACAAATCTGACCCGCCCACACCTACAACACCAACACGAGCATCCCTCCCTGACCTCACCTTCACTAGCCCGTCCAAGCCTGGGTCTCCAGCGAAAGATGATACAAGCAACATAGCACCCAAGGACCCCGATCCGTTCTTGAGTGTGAACATGGAGAATATCCGAAATCGAAGACGACATTCGTTGGCACCTCCAGTGCCTCCAACAGACAGCTCTACCCCAACGACCAACGGTGCGAGGTCTCGCCTCTCAGAAGTAACTCCTATCAAATTTGCGTTTTCTGATGCTTCAGCTGACGACGATGACGTCCCGGCAAAGCGAGTACGGACGACTCTGCCCACCCGACCAATCACTATGAGCAAACCAGTGCTCTCAGATGAGATCCTGATTTACATCTTCAAGCACGTGGATATAGGAGAGCTGTTTCGACTACGCCTTGTTAGCACACACTGGCGTAAGCTCCTGACTACATCCCCCAAAGTTTGCCAGGATGTCGACCTCTCAATTTACAACCGTAAGGTTACTGACGAAGTCCTGATCAAGGTGCTTGCTCCCTTCATTGGCACTCGCGCTCTGTCCATTGACCTGAATAATTGCTTTCACATAACGGATGAAGGGTTTGGAGCTTTATGGCGCAGTTGCGGCAAAAATGTTAAGAAGTGGAAGATGAAGTCGGTTTGGGATGTTTCCGCGAACCAAATTTTGGAGATGAGCGAGAACGCAAAGGGATTAGAAGAAGTTGACTGGAGCAACTGCCGCAAGGTCGGTGATAATCTTCTAGGCCGCGTTGTTGGCTGGGTTGTACCCGATCCACCACCTTCGAAATCAGTCGTTATCTCAAGTTCTGCAGCTCGATCGCGAAGCAAGCAGCAGCAACAGAAGCATGCCGCACAGCACGTTCTGCCACCAGGTACAGTAGTTGGGTGCCCGAAACTCAAACGCCTCAATCTCTCCTATTGCAAGCACATCACAGATCGTTCCATGGCTCATTTAGCAGCACACGCTTCGAACCGTATCGAGTCGCTGTCCCTCACGCGTTGCACATCGATTACAGATGCAGGGTTTCAATCATGGGCGCCATTCCGGTTTGAAAAGCTATCTAGGCTGTGCCTAGCTGATTGCACATATCTCTCGGACAACGCTGTCGTTGCCTTGGTTAACTCAGCCAAGAACCTTACACATCTGGACCTATCGTTCTGCTGTGCACTTTCTGACACGGCGACAGAGGTTGTCGCTCTCCGTCTGCCAAAGTTGCGGGAGCTGCGATTGGCGTTCTGCGGAAGTGCGGTTAGCGATGGAAGTTTGGAAAGCGTGGCGCTCCACTTGAACGATTTGGAAGCCCTCAGTGTTCGTGGCTGTGTGCGTGTCACTGGCCGAGGCGTCGAAAATGTCCTCAACGGCTGCGGGCGACTGAACTGGATGGATGTCAGTCAATGCCGTAACTTGGAGTCATGGATCCGAGCCGGTGGTGTTTCGAACTGGGGGTTTGATGACCGCGTTGGTCAACGTTCTACGGAGCCCACGTCAAGCGAAACCTCTGGACAGGGACAATCAGAGGATGATGGTCCTGCGCCCAAGGCCATGAGCGTTGCTATGCTCACATCACAGAACTTTATGCCACGATCTGCGTTTGGATACAGAGCCAAGAGAGCACGACGACCCGTGCGGTTCGTCATCGAGAAAGGGTTTGGAAGTTTACGGTAAGAAAGGACGGCGTCTTGGGGAACACTTTTTGAGGAAATGATTGGGAATTGAGTGGGAATGGAAAGCATTGGATCTATGTTGCGCAGCATAGGCGTCAAAGTCGTGGAGCATTTGTCATTACTGCATATCAGGTCTCGTGCGATGTAACGCACATCTGGGTAGAGAGAAAGCATGATGCAAGGGGGTGAATGCTGGGTGAAAGGATGCTTAGTAGATACCCTTGATGGAGGCGTTGATATCCTTCATAATAATATTGGAATTGAAAAGAAACAGCCGAAAATAGAAGAGGCTAGAAAGAAGCTAACGTCAACGTAGCTGTGGTGTAACTATTCCCATAGCGTAACACCAGTAAATCCGACGGCGCCTGGAGTTTAGAGCCTTAGCCGCCGAGTGATGACCAACTGAGTCACTGAGAGGCGCCGGTTCTTTCCACAATATTCCACCAGCACAGCCACGTGATGTCGGATTTTAGGTAGGCTCCACACCCGGAACCAACGTCATGCTTTCTTTTACCGGGGACTTATAATACTCTCGATTCCCCGTCCCCGCTTCGACCTTTTCCTTTGTAAACGACTGCACATCGCATTCTCTCCCAACACCTGCATCGCCAGAACGACGATGTCCTTCACAATGACTGTCCGCCAGGGCCCTGCGCGACTTGCGCAGAGGCTTCCTGAGCTCTCAAAGACTGCTTTCCGCAACACCGCATCCGTCCGAAGCTTCCACGTTCAGTCCAAGCCCACAGCCAACTTCTTCACATCGCGCGTCACATCCGCAGCCACCCGCAATGCTTTCCAACGAACAAGCCGCGCTGGCGGTCGATCTTATAACCAGCAAGCTGCGGGAGCTGCCACAGCGCCCCAATCGACAAGCCGACGACTCTTGGTTGGAGGTGCCATCTTTGGTGGTACGCTTGTTGCCATCAATGCTGTCTTTAACCGGGAGACCCGTGAGGATGGTGGCATGCCCGTTTACGAGCGCGAATACCTGAACAACACTTTCCTGCACACCGGTCTCGGAATTGGCATCATTGGGTTGACGGCTCGACAAATGGTTCAGACCGGCTTCGTTTACCGAATCATGGTTACTAACCCTTGGGTTGTTGGAATTGGTGGTCTCGCTCTCAGCTTCGCCACCATGATTGGAACTCGATCTATCAGCCCTGACAAGTAAGTTGTTGAATTCAATCAATGCCAAAGTTGAAGCATTTTACTAACAATTCCCAGCTACATCCCCAAGTACGCCCTCTGGACCGCTTTCAACGCCACTCAAGCCGCCTTTGTCGCCCCTCTCCTCGCCTTCGTCCCTCCTGCTCTCCTTGGACGTGCCGGTCTCTACACCATCGCCATGATGGGTGGTCTTGCTGTTGTCGGTGCCACTGCTAAGCAGGAGAAGTACCTCTACATTGGTGGTCCTCTCCTGGCTGGTGCCGCCATCGTCGCTGCTTCTGGTCTCGCCCCTCTCGTCATCCCCGCCACCGCTATCCGAACCCTTGCCTTCACTGAGAGCATCTGGTTGTACGGTGGTCTTGCTGTCTTTGGTGGTTTCACCCTGTACGATGTCCAGAAGGTCCTCCACCACGCTCGCCTCGCCCAGGCTGGTGTCATCCGCCGTGACCCCGTCAATGAGAGTATCTCTCTTGAGCTTGACTTCCTCAACATCTTCATCCGCATGGTTCAGATCCTGATGATGCAGCAGAACCGACGCAAGTAAGCGATTGGTGATAGAGTTGCATAGAACTAGCGCTGTGGGCGTTTTGTATTATTTTTTAGCAAAAGGATTATTACTCGGATGGAGGATAATAAACTCCTCTCCTGTTTTCTGTTGTAACCGGTCTACAAGTGGATGGATTTTCTAATTTCTTAATTTTAGGATTAGCAAATAAGAAAAAAAAAAAACTTCAAATATTCAGAGTGGAGTGAATTTCAAATGTTTCATATTGTGACTAGGTATATGTTGAATTTCTGTCCTCTCATTGCCTCATTCCAAGTTAAGTTTCCTGATATCATTGGTGCCATTTCCATCCGTCTGCTAAGCCAAAATGCAAATATCCCCAAGTATTTATTCGAGAGGTGGGAACGGCCTCAAAAAGTGGCTCGGGCACTCATAGCCAGAGGGGTTATTGTGGAGGTAGAGTTGGTGATACTCCTCAGCAGTCCACCACTTTCCAGCGGGCGCAATCTCAGTAACGATGCCGCCCTTCCACCATTGCTTGTTGGCCTTCTCTGTGACCTCGCGCGCGATCTTTTCTTGCTCCTCGTTGTGGAAGTAAATAGCAGAGCGGTACTGGGGGCCGGTATCGGGACCCTGGCGGTTCAGCGTCGTGGGGTCGTGCGTCTTGTAGAAGAATTCTAGGAGTTGTGCGTATGAGACCTTTGTAGGGTCAAAGATGATTTGCGCGGCCTCAGCGTCTATGATTGTTAGTGATATTCTAATGCGAATGATGGAGGATTGCGACGTACGGCCTGTCTTTCCACCGCAGACGGCGCGGTAGCTAGGGTTTTCAAGATCACCACCAATGTATCCAACCTTTGCGTCGATCAGACCCTTATCGGCAAAGTGTCTGCGATACAAATGCTCTGTTCCCCAGAAACATCCCGCTGCGACGGTGCAGCGCTGAGCGCCCTCTGGGATGACAGATGCAGCGGATTGATCGGGAGCGATTGAGAGCCGTGTAGATTGTGTGAAGGGGCGAGCGAGACGCGCCAAGAAGGGAGGAAGGTAGGACATTTTTGCAGCTAACAGAGATGAATGCGACTGTGTTGTTCTGTGTATGGAAGTGAAGCTATCGAGGGAATCGCATTGATATTTGAATGTTTTTTCGGGCTGTCGGTCAATGTGAATGACAAATCCTTACAAGGGGAAGCTAAGGCGTGGCGGGGGTATAGGAGCTGCGTCACCGAAGACGTAGATGACGATTGGATTTCGCAGAGCTCTGCTTCCTCTTTTGGGAAGGTGGCGTGGATGCGGTTTAGTTCAAGGGTCTTTTCTTTTGCCCCGCGGTTTTCATTAGCGAGTTATGGCATATGGAATCAGCGGTTGAGGCTGTGTTTTAGTGCTTGATTATTGAACAGATTTACTGCAACGGGGTGAGCTACAGGGCTGTGAACTATTTGAAATAGGTAATTCTGCTTATACGCCTGTGGATGTGTAAGTTGCCGGCTTATGTTGGCTGTGCATACGCTTCTTATACGCTCAATTACAGATATCAGTGCTTGTTAGTGAGAGGCTATCTCGGCTATATTTGTGGATTTCATTATTACCGCTATTCTTCGATATATGCGCCCTATGCACTCAGGGCATGCTCGCATGTAGCTAATGCCTGCAAACCCTCTCACACGTGCTCACAAGGATAACTGCCGTTATTATGCCATGCATATACATAAACAATTCCTAGCATATCAAATGCAATAGAAATACGATAAGATAAAAATAATATTGGGTCAATTAACTTTCGGAAGTCACCGTCCGTTGAATTGCGGAGTTTAAACTCTCGTCTCGTCTTCCCCGCCGACTCGGCCGACCTCGGTTCCCCAGTCGGACATAGCATAGTTTATACTTACACTGACTATATATCATCCCCAAAACCCTCTATAACTTATTCAATTAATTTTACGTACTCAATATCTTCATCATGACTTCACCAAACCTTGCTCAACGCATTCCTCCCGACTCATGGGACTCACACATGCACATTGTCGACGTGGAGAACTACACCCTTGACGCTTCAGCCAAATACCGTCCTACATCTCACACACTGGACCAAGCCCTCGCCTTTGAAACTGGCGTTGGGCTTCAAAACATAGTCCTTGTTCAACCATCTATCTATGGGCTCGATAACTCGTGTCTGCTCGATGGTCTTCGCGCCCTAGGTACTGAGCGTGGACGAGGTGTTGTTGCCATTGACCCTGAGGCTGCCAATGAAGAGGAGTTGCGTTCATGGCATGAACTGGGTGTGCGTGGAGTGAGACTAAATATTCTCTCAAATGAACTTGCGATTGATGCGGCCGAGTTGGAGAGGCAGTTGATGCTTTACGCTGATGCTGTAAGGCCTTTGGGATGGGTTGTTCAGGTCTACGTCCCTATGGATATGGTCACTCTCCTTGAACCTATCATTCCGAAGCTCAATGTCAAGTTCTGCATAGACCATCTTGGACATCCGCCTCTGAACAAATACGCAGGCGCAGACCCATATGATATACCAGGCTTCACATCCCTCATCAATTTACTCAAGAACGGCCAGACGTATGTCAAGCTGTCAGCTGCTTACCGGATGAGCACACTCCCTGACTACAGCGATTTGGATCCCATCGCTAAGGAGGTCGTTCGAGTCGCTGGAAAGACTCATGTTGTTTTTGCAACTGACTGGCCTCACACAAGGTTTGAGGGATTGGAAATCAAGCCCTGGATGGAGAGAGTGCTGAGTTGGTGCGGTGATGATGAGCATCTCAAAGAGCGGCTGTTCAGAGGGAATGCCGAAGATTTATGGGATGTTCAGAGGCCATCGAGGAAGGCGGACCAGTGATTGAAATCAGTTATGGCTTGGGGTTGAGCTCGATATAGCAGTAAGGGGGGGATTTCATTCATGGTGTTCAAAGCTGATTTCGTTCTTTCTGCCATGGACATGTGTACTTGTTAATATTTTCGTTTATGTATTCATATCATATCTGCCTATTATTCATCTGTCGATCATTCTGCCGTTGCATTGCGATACCTGAAACGTCAAGAACGATTTCCAAAATGGCCACAACCAGTCCAAGGGCCGTTCTACACAGAGCGCGAGATTACACAGGCAATCAGGCCATGACTCCATGTTCCAGCATGAAGTTTATGGTTGAAAGTATAACTTCGATAACATCTTCTCCGAGTAGCGCCGAGCAGGGTTCAGCGTGCGGACCTTGAGGACTCGGCAGATGCGGGTATATGACGCTAAGTCGACTTCGATATCCTGATGTGAGAGCTCGTAGTCAAGACTGTCGGTGCATGGTTGGCTGCTTCTCTCGGTGTGCTCTTTGCTACTGCATGAATCAAGATCCGAGGTTCATTGAGTGCGCCCGATGCACTGATACCTGGCCGAGAAGTTGATATTTTTCAGTCCATTTGAGTTTCCCGGTTTCGAATCCGCATCAGTTTCTTGATCTTGATAGATCCTGCTGTCATTGACGTTGATCAAATCGGTTTTAGTATATTCCAGTATGCTTCTGCCACAGCATCCTCGATCAACCGAAATTCTGAGGGTTGTTTCCTGACTCGTAGATAGCGCCCACCCGTACACTCAAGGGCTCAAACGAAGATAAAGCCTCGAAAACTCCACGGTCAACGGCCATTGCATTCGGGTTCATATTGTCAGCCCACGGTGTCTGGAACAGTTGCTCCGGCTCGTAAGGCGATTGCTGTGCAGGTATCTCAAATGAAGCCGGGTAAACAGTCTCGGTAATCGGTATGTCTGTAGGCATCTGAACATCTGGCATAGGCTGAGGCATAGGCGGAGGAGGCTGTTGTTGTGGTGTACTAAATCCTGGATCAAGCCCAAGATTCGCCATCTCTCGGGTGATCAAATCCAAAGCACTTGAGATGACTGTGTGGTGTGTTAGAGCTCGTATAGCCATGGACTTGAGCTACTTACCTGGATTAACGGTTTTGGCCTGATGCAAGGCTCGTACGCAGAAGCTCAGCTTGCGAACTGCTTGTTGGTCCTCGGGGGTAGCTTGAACCTGTAAAAGAAAAATTGTCGCCGCGATATACACACTGTATGAAAGTGATAGAACGCAGTGGCTGATGGTAAATGTTCTGCAGAAAAGATCGAAGATGGCTATAATAGATGTTGCAGATGTAACGCATTCCACGAGATGGTTTTGCATCGGATGAGGGCCTTCATCCTCTGGGTATACCTGCCAGGTGAGCATCGGCCTGAACAGGAGGATTCTGAACGTATGGTACAAGGCACTTAATCAGGTTAGCTAGCGCTTTTCAGAAATGACAAACTGGTACTCACTTCATGGTGACAATGTGTGACGGAGGTGCCAGCTCAGGCATGGCGGAGAGCTCGATCTTGAGATGAGGAGGGAGTTGTTCCCACCATAGTCTCATGGCAGGGTCTTGAGTCTGTAGACACTCTTGCATCTCTGCCTCGGTATTCTCCAGTAATGGGTCATACATGTGAATGAGAATCTCATTAAAGATGACCGATAATCGGCAAGCACTCATGAAACAGGAAGTTGAGTGAGCTGTCGCAGGAGGATACTTCCAATCTGATCCATGAGGAGAGTCGAAGGGGACCCAGAGCTCATTCTCAGCCGAGTCGTCCACTAGAAACTATGAGTAACTTGCTTGCTAAATAGTTCCACAGCTATACTTACTGATAATCTGGGGCGGGGACACCTGTGTATGTTGCAGTGAAGGCGAACGGCCGAGGTATAGGCTGATAATCTTATCCCAGAAATAGCAACTCCAGTAAAGTCGATGTCGAATCTCGACCTCTTCATCAGTCAAATGGACGGATCCTGGATATCTCTGTCCATCAACACAAATGCCCAAATGATCAATGAGACGGAACGCTATGCCACTATAAATCCAGGCCTGTGTTGTGTTGCCATGACCACATTCTCCTGCGCTGAGGAGTAGCAGTGTCTGAACAGTTGGGATAGTGCAAACACCCCTACTTAGTTCGTCGAAAAGCATGCTTCGGGCGTGTTTTGCAAAGACAGCCCCTCCATCGTATGACTGATCCAGCAGTTGTTTGGTGGAAGGATCACTTTTACCCCAGCGGATAGAATGTGAGAGCATAGCATTCAAAAGAGTGTGAGAATAGTACGGTCCCATGGATTGCATGTCACCTGCGAGTGTTAGTTACTGCTTACATAATGTCAAGGTGAAGCATACGAGTGAATGCGGGCCTGTAGATAAAGTTGAAAAGAGGCTGAATCCAGCACCAATGCACGTTCAGAAGGTATTGAAACGGTTCCTTTGTGGTGTAAGTTGAGACTCATGAGACTGCAGGTTACACGAAAACCTACTGGAATGTCAGACAGGTTTTCCATCGCTCGCTGATGCCATGCATTGTTGACCAATCGCTCTCTCCTATGAGCATCTGAGTCAATGGATGATATCGAGTCTGGCTTATGCTTGTGAGGGTCACTGGGAAGATTGAAGAGACTAGTCGGTCCGTGGTAAGTAATGCCACCCTTGTCATCGATCTTGAGGCCCATGAAGCTCTTCGTCATTGCATGCTCGTCTGGATGGCGATTCAAGTCATGGCCGTTCCAGACCCCAGGACTCGAATGATTTGAGGCGGCCACTGAGGGAGGAGATTTGATAGCAGCGAGTTGGTCTTCCAATTCTTTGATGCGTTCCTCAAGGCGTTGGGTGTAGGACAGAGTCGGGTTTCTATGACACGTGAGCAATTGCTCAGAAAATAATGAGGCCGAGGTGAGTCCCACAGTTTGTAAATACAGTCATCGCTTCTAGCAGCACAGCGATTGCAAATCGGTTGCTCGCCGCCGCATTTGACCTAAAGGCTATCAGTACAGATTTATGGGTGAAGTAGCGATTGTGTTGACCTTGCGTCTACGGCACGGCTCACAAGAGAATGCGCTCTTCTTTGTGGCTTTGACCGACGACATGATGTGCCACAAAGTCTGATGAGTTTCTCGTCCAGTTCAGTTCCGGTATTGTAATTAAATCGGCAAGAGTCGTCAGAGGCAGAGAGTGAGCCCCGCGTTGGCCATTGAAACCCCACCTAGAACTTGGGCCGGGTCTGTCCGATGATGAAGCTGTAGATTATTGCGCCGAGGGACAGCATAAAGACAGTGAAGGTGGTTTTCTCCTTTAGGGGTAAAAACAAGGCACAGTAGATAAAAGCCCGACTAGGACGAGAATTCTCCGCCTTGTGACTGTTTCGAGTCAAAGGTAAAGTAAAGGTAAAGTACACGGAGCCGATGCTGCGTTGGGCCGGGGCAAGAGTGTCGGGAGGCCCCAGCTCGGAGGGACAAGGGGGGCGGGTTCTAGGCCTGTCAGGCCTGACCAGACTCTGTGTAAGAGAGGTCAGGTCCTCTAATCAATTGATGAGATATACTGAATTGTATTGAACGATATTGTAAGCAGTCAAATGTAAAGGGCAAGGATTGATCAGGCATATCCTCTTGGAAGCCTCAGGACTAACTACAAGATGATCACGTGAGTCATGTGCTCTTTGGGATGGCTGTTCCATAGGAAGGCGCAGCCAACGGTATAGGGCGGTCCAGCGCTGGATGTCCTGTAACTTGGGCCTCTTCAGTCGTCATAACCTGGAAGATCGACAGTCTCTGAGACCAATTTGTTCTTATTTGCAACTATATGGCCAAGACTTATTACTGGATTTCGAGTTCTCTTGAATGTATCATATGCTTTTGATTTATTTTCGTATATCAAGCTAAATGACATACGAGGCGAAACCGGAACCGGAACACTTTACATATGGAGCTCCGCAGCCATTCCCGGATACCGAGGAACTGGCTACGGCATCTGATAAAGCATTATCTCGGTATATATGGAGCACTGAATACCTTGCTTATTGTCTCGCTACTCATTCAATTCCTTTTCAATCACTAATTATTATCTCATTCAATGTTGCTTCATCTACATCAAGTATCCTTTCCTCCAGACCATAATTGACAACCTCGGTCGAACGGACCCGATATTATCCACTTTGCGGCGGAAGAGAAGCATCGATGCCCGGTGCAGTGGATGCTCTAGTTACAACCAGATCTCATGACTCCAAAGCTATAGAGTCAATTCGAGCCTAACCTGGCGTTACATCACAAAGAACCGTGCCCTCTGATGAATACATATCACCTGATTGCTCTCCCATGTCACAGCCTAACATTGTTACATCTACAATATCCGTCCAGACTCGGGACAACTGCTCCTATATTCTGACCTCTAACTGTCACACCTGCAGTTATAGTTGCACATGCATCTTCTCAGTTGATATGGTGCCTCTCACTAACACAACTTCTATGTATGTCCTGGCCGCCAAGCACTGCATGTGATCTTTTACATGAGCATCGATGCATACATATGCGAAACTGTCACATCACATAACTTGGCCAACAAGCTCTAAAACATTGAGCCAAGCACTCGAGAACAATTCTGTGCATCATAGAACTGACTCTTCTTAACTTGATAAACTATTAATTGGTTGTGTAGGTGGGACTTAAATGCACTTGATGCGTCTCTGCAGCTGAGATGTTGTGAGCGGTCAAAGACTTTTCCCTCAACTTTCGCTATTCTTCTAAAGATCCCAAAGTACTGAGACTAATAGCATAATGCCAATCTTGAACTATAGAGTGATCAGAATTATTCTCATGGAATGTCTATCACTAACGGCGCTTGTTGCCGTGCTATTTCCATATCTGCAACAAGGATCATCCATCGAGCGGCACAGCGGGGCACAGTAATCAGTGATCAGCACTCTTTACCCCTGCGTCAACTTCAAATTAACAACCTCTCAACTTCATCGCAAAATAAGCACACAATGTCAACCGAAAGATCTCTCTTCAAGACCGCGGTCTATGGCCTATGGTCGTTCCAATTTGGCTTCCTCTTAATCGCAGAAACATACCAGCTTCTCGTGGACTCATTCTCCTCCCGCCTCCTTCTTTTGCTTCTCCCATTCACATTTGAGCTGTTTCTCCTTTTCACCACAGCCTCCCGCATACCCATTCTAGCACCATGGACCAAACGTTTCCACCGGTTCTTCTATGAAACGAGAGATTGGGCTATGGTTCTCCCAGTCTTGAGTATCCTCTGGGTCTTTGGCGTTTTAATGGTTGCCGGCCTGGTCTTCACAGACCTCATTGGTTCAGGTAGAGGACCCATCAACAGAACTCTGGTATTCATACAATCATACCTTGGGTTTGTTGTTTATATTGTTTACATCGGGGGTATTATAACCTTTATCCCACTGCCGTTTTGGGCAGCTTTTGTTGGTTTCCAGGCTTGTATGCGGGTAAAGAATCTTAGAAGCCCTGAGGAGGAAGAGACCATGGGATTGACGACCAAGGACGACGACGACGAGTGGAACGACTTTCAAGATAATCGGGGTAACTGAGCTACACTACACTTAGGAAGCCCAGATGTATTATTGAAACTGTATGTACTCCGAAACTCATGCTAGAAGTCCTCGTTTAATCATGCATCCTCCTCGTATACTCCAATTTCCCCTCCATTCCTTTCCCAAAAACACCCATTAGAAATTCATCGTCGTGCTACATACACTGACTCGATGTAGTAGTGAATGGTTCAACACATAGATCCAGCCTTGTGTCAGAGCCCGCTGTACCATGACAGAATGTAACGGAACTCATAATCTTGTACTGCTCACACTGTCATACAGCCAGTGCTGGACATGTGGTTTGAGCAGCCCCGATCGCCGGGAACAACTTAGGCATTGCTCATCTGACCATCGATGACGCTATCGTTTCGTGGGGCAACACCATGGTCCTTGGGCTCAAGAGTGTCGGTCTGGGAGTGAGAGATGGGCTCCTTCTCGTGATGGCCGAAGAAGTGATGCTTGCTACCCCTCTCCAAATCATCATCGTCCTGGCCAGGATTGGCGGTCTGATACTCGAGCACCTTAAAGATCTTGTAGCAGCCGAAGGCCAGGAAAGAGCCCATGAAGGGACCGAGGTAGTAGATCCAATCATATCCATGGAAACCAGCGATAACTGAAGGGCCAAGGGATCGAGCAGGGTTGATGGATGTGCCAGTCCAGTTTGTCAGACAGATGTGGGCGATGAAGACAGAGATGCCAATACCGACGGGGGCAAGATGTGTGCTGCGGTGCTTCTCAACGGCAAGGAAGTAAACAGTCAAGACAAGTTGGGCAGTGAGGAACATCTCCAGGAAAACACCCTGAGCAATGCTCGTACCATTGCCGAGAGAATTTGTGACGAGGAGAGGTCCGGGGATGAGACCGTCGGTAACTCCCGCGGCGGCGATAGCGGCAACGAGTTGTGTAGGAATAATAGCAAGGGCATGAAGAGGTGGTACAGCACCGACGAGGACCAGACCAAGAGTTACCTAAAGAAGAAAAAAGAATGAGCATGTGAGTCAATCAAGCAAGTTGGTGCGAGTGTCACTTACAGCCGGGTTGAACATGCCACCACTAACACGATAGAAGATCCAGACATTGACGGCGAGAGCGGTACCGAAAGAAGCAGCAATGTACATCAACGAGAAGGGCTCCAAGGGGGCAGTAGAATTGGTAGGGTTATTGGTAACGAGGGCAGTTTGGGCACCGATGAAAGAGAGAAGAAGAAACATGAAGGTTCCGCAGAATTCCCCGAGGACGATGACGATGGCGTTTCTCACGCGGTTGGGGATGGGACTGCCTGCTCTGCGATCCGCTACGGCTTCCTCAGTGGGCAAGCCAGACATGCCCGAGTCGGCACGAGTGAATTGAACCATTGTGACTTGATTTCCAAGTGGTTTTGGTGATGTGTGTATGGTTGGGAAGGGAGAGGAGTAGGATGCTCAGGAATGGTGAGATGAGAAGAGATGAGATGGATACTGATGCTAAGGGACCTGACAAAAGAGAGTTTCTCCCATGGCGTACTCGGGGATTTTATATCGAGGAGAGCAAGAAAGAGCAGGAGGGAAGGGCATAACTTCCGAGCAATGATATCCTCAATCGAACCACACCTCAGACCAAACAGTCCAAGTGGCGTCGTCCCTGAGTGTAGTAGCCGCATTTGCATCCCAGCTCTCATCGAGGGTGGGCATCACATCGGCAGGGTACCTAAGGTAAGGTAGGGGACGGCACAGGCGACACGGAATGGAGTCTGACTCTGATATTGATACTCCCGGGAGAGAGATGTAACTCGGGTTACGCTACGGGGATAGCCTTTCTTTGTGATTGCTTGTCCTTCACAGACAAGGTTCCTGGGGTTATCTGAACGAGGGCCTTTTGTTCATGTCTGTCTGCCCAACATGATGCTGTCTAGGATATAGTTACAATGGCTTTGAGCAACCAAGCATATAAGCATCATGTTGATCATCAAGTACACTATTTGCTTACCACAGTATCCAAAAACGATTGGCATTGTTAGAGTGACGGTGTTCACAGGTCAGCACAGAGGGGACGTTGGCTTTAGTCGTCGATGGCGTTTTTTCGAGGCGTACCCGCACACATGAAAAGAGAAAAAAGGCGACTATTACCGTATTAACCTCCCCCTCAGCTGGTGACGATGGAATATTGAGACGAGACATCCGAAGACTAGATCACTAAGGGTAAAGCGCAAAGGTACTGAAGCTGAAAGCTCTCATGACATGTGGAGAAGGTTCAAGCTTTCTCGTGTAAGTTGGCCATTTGCACCAGAGGAAGAATGTCGCTGACGGGTCCGTCTCGGACAGGTAGAGCTTGGAAGGGCTAGTTCCAGAGGGGGGGAGGAAAGTTTCATCAGTCTCTTCAGCTCGCTTCAGTTGATCTCACTCGCTTATCCCCGCATGTGAAAATACCTTAGTAACCAAAGGAGCAGTCCGATGACATCCACAAACACCACAGTATGAGTATGAGTGAACCAGGATCATCCATGCCTGTCAACGGCAAGTACCTTTTAGATTCAACGGGCGGGCGTGCTCTAATTAGGTACCGTCGAGTCATCAACGAAGCTCCCCTTCTTGTGCCGTTTGGCTCTGTCAACGGTCGTCTGCTTTGCTTTAAGAGATGTAGCGTCTATGACAGCTTGATCCGTTGAAGCTAGAGCAACATCTTTCATGACGTTGAAGGCTTTGAGCTTGTAAGCTAAGTTCAGTTGTGTCTCTGCAAAATTAACTTCAAACCATCTAAGCGGCGTCACTCTTTGCGATTATTTTATCAACTCTATTGGCTGGGTCTATTCCGCTTTCTTGCATCGGAATGAAATGTCCTTGAGACTCGACTCAGAGAGACCGACTCAGTGAAAAGGCCAGAGACAATAATAATAACAAAAGGGTCCAGAGAATCGGGTTTCCAAAAGAGTCCTTTGTTTGCGACATGCGGATTCAATCACAATCCCCATCAGACAAGGGCTCAATAGTCCAACGAGCTTACAGAGCCTAGACCCTTGACCCTTGTAGAGATCGTGCTGTAACTGTCCCGTTTAGAGACAAGGGGGGTATGCGCGGGGAACAACAGGATAGGATACTCGGACCCGTTATCTGACAGAGATCAAAGAGAGACCAAAGAGAAGACAGTAAATATGTATCAATCCACATCCAGTCTCTCCAGCTGCTCCTCAGCAAGCCATAAACCGCGTATGCTCCACCATAAGTGGCCGAAACACCAACACCATAGCCACGAGACTCCAGAAACGGCATCCCTGCCCTAAAATCCTAGTGCAAATCTGCAACTCCAAGGATACTATTACCACTAGATCCACGATAGTCCCTGAAGCGAATGATATAATCCGTCGCTTCGTGCCGTCCCCGAACCATCGCGCCATTAAACAAGGCCAGCATAGCGACTAACATCAATAATCCAAGACTCGAAAAAAGCCATGTTCCTGAAGAGGCTTGAATCACATCTGTCTTATGCTAAGATCACCTTTTCTAGGTCTAGTTTAATCGTATAAGAGCGAGAATAGCTAGTCTTGGAAGGTCACGTTTTCGATTTCGAGGCTTCAATGTCTCAAATGCAGCCAGAAAGGGACGCGCCGCCGTTCCCGATACCAGCTGAAGATCCTAAGGCTGATATTAACAAGACACGCCTCTTCAGCGCCTTTAGCAGTGAGATATGGAATCTGGCGGTTATTCTGCCTTGACTGGTAATGTTGTATGTATTGTGGAAATTCGGCATTTGATAAGGCATGGTCGAGAACCGCCTTGCGATGCTGTCGGATGGATGTAGATTAGGGCTGCGAAAGAGGTCTGCTGAGCCCAAACATGGCGGCAAAGACTATCAATCATTCGTTAATCGTATCACGGAACAAATAGTTGCCAGGACTATGTGATAGTCATTTCGACCCAGGATATCAACAACGATACCAAGCATCATTGGAGAGTATACAGAAGTCGAGGTCTGAAACATTGCGGATCCTCGCCTGTGAACATGATACCCGTCAACCACATCACCTCTGCAAGTCTATGAATCAGGACATGCATTCCAGCCTGAAGGAACGGGGATGCGTCGAGTCAATCCACGAGAGAACTCATGGGGCCATGATCTACAGCCAAGGGCATGTAAGTCATTTGATCCACGACTATCACCGTGGGTCCAAGGCTTCAATTCGGTGTAAATTCAACGAAACAGATATTCATACGCATATCAATAAATCCGGGGCCGTCGTATCATCAGGGATGCAACGGGTAGGCCCGTCCCAACACGCCGATCACCAACTGCAGTCTCATGCATATCAAAGGATCCGTTCCCATTGTTTCGACTATAGAGCCTATCACGATGAACTGTCAAGGTCATGGATGTATGCAGTTGTGCTTGTTTGCTCAGATTTGCTTTTGCCTCTGCCGTTGAGATGAAACTCGGTCCTGCACATAAGCATCTTCCAGAAGCCTTGTCCTTGTCTTTTCTCTTTCGCCGATCATACCTAGGTGAACACATTGTGTAACGGCTCGTTGGCAGCCCATCGCTCGATGTTCTCAACTTGTTGCTCATACCACGACTTGATGGTGTCCTCCTCACAATAGCCCATGTGAGGGGTGACCAGAACTTGACTTGATCCATCGCGGCCCCAGTTCTTGTTGCGCCACTCACTGTCGGCGGGGAGAGGTTCCGGCTCAAAGACATCGACAGCTGCGCCCCTGATACGGCCAGCCTTGAGATGATCGAGAAGATCTCTCTCCACGACGAGGGGGCCGCGAGAGGTATTGACAAACAAGGCTGTCGACTTCATCTTTGCCAAGTCCTCTTTGTTGACTATGCCGCGTGTCCTATCAGACAGGACAAGGTGGACAGACACCACGTCGGCATTTCTGAAGAACTCATCTCGGCTTACCACCTTGAACGTCTTCTCACCCTCCCCATCCTCGACATGAAGACCAGCTTCCCTGGCCTTCTCATCTGCCGCCTCCTGTGTGAGGTTGCTACTCCACGCGATAATCTTCATACCCAATGCGACGTTGAGAATCCTCGCGACTGCGCTTCCCAATCTCCCGAGGCCGAGGACACCCAAAGTTTTTCCTGAGAGATCAGTCGCGAGACCAGTTTGCCACAGTCCCTCCTTGACAGCGGCGTCATCCCTGGCGATGCCGCGAGCGAGCGAGAGGATGAGAGTGACGCAGTGTTGAGTGGTGCTGCCCGTGCCAGCGAGCACCGGCTTGCCGCCACGGGGCTTATCGACTGTTCCGGCAACTGGGATCCCTCGTTCTTTGAGGGTATCTAGGTCCAGGGATCTGTTGCGAAATGCTGTGGTGAGGAGAAGCTTGAGTGAGGGGAGTTGCTCGATCAACTCTCGCGGAAAGGGCGTGCGCTCCCTCATCGTGCCTGTGTCTATCAGCCGCTTATTTTCGGACCTCCTAACAAGACATTATACTTACAGATAACATCGAAGGGCTTGAATCTCTCAACTAGAGCATCCTTGTTTGATTGTGAGCTGTCTGGGTGGTTGTAAGGCAGCAACGTATCCTTGATAGACACGACTTCATACTTGGATGGGTCGAGTTTCTTGAAGAAGGGATCAGCGACCCCTTGGTAGTCGTCCAGAATTGCTATTTTGGTTGGGGCCATTGTTGGAGCTGCAAATGGTTTGGTGGTTATGCTGGCTGATACAGCTGTGTTGGTGTATGAGTTAAATGGAGAGAGAGGTAAGCAGTGTAAGTAGTCGTATTATAGACACTGTGTCAGGCTGGTGTTTCTGAGCAAAGGATGTCGGGCTAATTCTTTAAAGCAGCCGCTATTAATTTTCTTTTCAGGTGCTATTGATGAAGGCATTCTAGAGTTTTAAACGGAAGGTTGTGACGTTGATTACGAATGTCGCGAGGTGGGTAAGTTCTCTGCCGGATGCTGATCCGATCTCGCAATAGCTCGCTCGGAAACTATTCTCGGCAGAGCAAAGCCAAGCTTCCAGTGTCCAACAACCAAAATGAATTACATGATCATTCAAATTACCAATCTATTATTGTATTTCAAATCTGACAAATCCAACGACTCTCAATAATACAAGATGAATATCTATCTTACATTTTGCTGGGCATTCTCATAGCACCATCCAACCTAATAACAACACCATTCAACATGACATTCTCAATGCCCTGCCGCGCCAATTGCGCAAACTCCTTAGGCTGACCAGCTCTCTTGGGAAACTCCATCGCGCCCTCGAGACTCTTCTTGACTTTCTCGGGCATCACGCTTGTCATTCGGCTGTCAAACAGACTAGGCGCAATGGTCACGACTCGGATGCCATATCGAGCAAGATCTCGTGCCATGGGCAGTGTCATGGCTGTCACGGCGCCTTTACTGGCGGAATAAGAGACTTGACCCTTTTGACCATCAAAGGCTGCTGATGAAGCTACCATGATGACAACACCTCGCTCGCCGTCAGATCCTTCGGGGTCTACCTTTGCAAGGTGCTCGAGAGTCTGACGCACGAGGTCGATTGTGCCGCGGAGGTTGACGTTGATAACAAAGTCAAAGTCATCAAGGCTGAAGGCAGCACCATTACGATCAAGCATCTATCAAGTCAATCAGTTAGTTATGCTTTCACCCACTTAGTCGCAACTTTGAAGAGTCTTACCGTCGCAGGAGTTGATACGCCAGCTGCTGCAATCACACCTCCAAGAGGCTTCCCCGTCTCTTTGGCCCATTGTGCAGCACCTTGGACAGCCTTGGTAACACTCTCTGTTTCCAACACATTGCATTCGAAGAATTTGGCCGATGGACCCAATTTCTTGACTAGTTCTTGTCCATTCTCCTCATTCATGTCGAGAATGGCCACATTGCCGCCATTGGCGCATATATCTTCAACGCATGCCTGGCCAAGGCCGGAAGCACTGTATCTAAGTCAGCGACATGTGACTGAGTGTTTTGATGTGGCTCTGCCTACCCTCCGGAGATGACAAATGTTCGGCCTTGAATCTTCATGATGGCTGTTGAATGTATGAATTGTAAAAAATATGAAAAGAACGGGGGAATGAACTGGTATCGAACTGACCTGGGGATGTCATTCATTCTCGGCGATTTAAGCACACGTGGGGAATCCGGGGGTGGCTGACCCGAACATGCCTCGGCAACTTGTCACCTTTAATGGGTCCTTGTAAGTCATGATATGCTTGCAATTACTTACCTGGAGTGCAAGTGAGACTATTGAAGTACTCACATCGAACTTTTTAAATATCAAGATCAAAATAATAACACTGGTTCCCATCACAAAGAAAGGTTCGGCTTCAATTTTAGTTTGTACCCAATTGTTCTTTCAACACAGTGTACAGGGTAACTTGAATACACTACGGCAGCACCATCTTAGACAGATTTTTCAATTCACTATATGAGTACTACTTGATACTCCTCACTAAAAGCTTAGCAGTATAGAAAGGTAAGTTGAGCCGTCTGGCTCTAGCCCTGCGAGGCGATCTCTGACTTGTTTACATTCAGAGATATGCCGCAAGTGAAGCGTTGTTCCAGGGGATCTCGATGTTAACGGCTTCAGCGACAAGCTGTTCGAGAGCAGGAATCTTCTCAAGCTTGTACTTGGCCAAAACAGAGTCATGGCCCATCTGCAGCATGCACTGCAAGAGCTTGGAAAGGGAAGTAATTCCATTCCTCTCTCCAATGCCCAAGACAGTGGTGTCAATGTGAGTGGCCCCAGCCTCAATCGCAGTGTAGGCGTTGGCGACAGCACATCCAGTGTCATTGTGGAAGTGAGTCTCGATATCGCATCCGACCATCTGCTTGAGCGTGGAGATCTTGTCAAAGACCTCACGAGGAGTCGCACCGCCAACGGTGTCGGCAATTCCAACGCGGTGGGCGCCGAGACGGTCCATGAGCGAGTAGAGCTTCAGAATCTCACTGAAGTCGGAGCGGAATGAGTCCTCGCCGGAGAATCGGACCTCAATGCCGTGGGCCTGGGTGAACTCGATGACCTCCTTAGCCTTGGCGGCGATCCAGTCGAGATCCTTTCCGTGGGAATGCTCCATGAGCTGAGTGGAAGTGCCGATGCACATGTTGCTGTGGTAAGAGTGTCAATTGAATGAGATAACCGCATTGGAGGTTGCTTCGACTTACATTCCATCGACACCGGTCTCAACCGCGGTTCTGGCATCGTCCATGTTGCATCGAATATGGCAAAGAACCTTGGCCTTGAGACCCAGCTTGCAGATAGCCGCGCAGTCCAACTTGGACTGAGGAGAAGCAGCAGGTGAGGTCACTTCAATCTGGATCATGTGTTAGTTGAGATCTATTATTTGCTTATTCAACAGACTCACGTATTCAACACCAATGTCATCCAGAGCTCGAGCAATCTTGAGCTTAGTCTCAGTGTCATAATTGCCGTTGATGAACTGCTCGCCCTCACGCAGAGTAGTGTCGATGATGCTGAAGTTGGACATGCTGCCAAGGGATCTGATCGAAGTTCCTCCAAAGCTTGGTCCATCGCTAATGGAGCCGGAACTGTCCGCGAGGGAGCTTTCATCGTCCGATTCATCGTAGGTAGTAGTAGTTTGCTTCAAGTCGTTGACACCAACATCCGTTACGGAGGCTTCCACGACATGGCCTCCATCGTTTCCTATAAGGCATTAGCTAGGAACCAATATTGTCTATCATATAGAATCTTACCAGTCTCTCCACCCGAGACTCGGACAACCCCATCTCCATCGCCAATTGCATGGCCAACATGGTTATCCACGCAATTCGCTCCGCAGCTATTGTCGCCGCCGTTGCTACTGGCGGCACCTTGGCCCATGGTGTGGCTGGTATGGTGGGAGATGGGGTTGTTGGCTGACTGCATTGTGTCTGCTTTAGCATCAAGATTTTGCTGTGTCCGATCTATGTGTCGTGTTGCTAGCTGATGTTGTCTACTTTGCTTGACTCTACCGCGAGAGAAAATTGTGGGAGGGGCTTTTATGTATACCCATGCTTGGTGACTCAAGATTGGCCGCAGATCGGCCTGTGGCTAAAATGTATCCTTTTGAGAAGCCAATGAGTCAATGAGTTCCTCAATCCTTGCATTCGGTCCTACGTCGACAGCAAACAAAGCCACGTACGGATTAAACATTGGAGGAGATTGTATATCGGTTTTCTATGGCTGGCCTAAAGTATACAATATATGTAGTTGTAAGAGGATGTTGGCTGTTACCAGCTTCTCTTTTTTACCTAGGCCAGACAGCTAAAGATTGTGTGTGACAGTCTTAGTCTTTCTATCTCTTTGAGCGGCACAAGGCCTCAAACATGTCACGACAGGGGGCGGGCGCCAATCAAAATGGCCGTGACGATCGGTACCTTCGACCACGCCTAAATTTGCGTGTGATAGAAGTACCAACAGTCAGCATTGTTACAAATCGCTACATTACATACTTTGCAGCCGTATCGGGTCCTTACCCTTCGTTCATTTCCTGATATCGGCTGTAGATAGCCTCCTTTTTCCTTCCTTTTTTTCAAGGGTCGAGGCTGCCCTTGCCGGCAACCTTTACAAGCTAGGCAGGGGGAATATTTGCCTCTATAGACATGATTAATATCTCTTTGTAGGTGATTTTGCCGTGCTTCTGTATTATCATTGTCTTCTTCCTTCCCTGTGCGACCTCTCTTCCTTGTGTGACCGTCAGATGCGTATTTGTTGAAAATGGCATTGTAAATAGCCTCTTTCCAAGCTTGAAGTGTGCTATAGGGCTTCCAACGAGGCTGCCGGGTCTTCTTCTGCAAAATGAAGCTATTCGCAAGTGCGACTTCAAGGAGGAAAGACCAAAGCAACGCCTGCCAAGGACCGCGCCGGAATCGATGCTGATATGTTGTATAAGACCTTATCTGATCACCGCGGTCCACGTGATTCATTTCAACGTTATACTGAGCGGCAACAGTAGGAATAGGGATCATTTTGAAGCTATCACCATTGAAGACCTGCTGCAGGCGTTGTGCCTCTGCCTTCGTGCCTCTTTTGGCAGGCAACTTCCTCTTTGTTGGTATGCGCTCGTGAGGGGCTCCGCTGTGCACAGTTGAAAGGAAGAGCACCACAGAGCTATCTTTCCAAGCGATTTGAAGGACCTAGGGATAACAGAAAGAGACGAATTAGTAAGGGAAATATATGTAAAGTTGTCTATACCTTTTTATCATACGTCGGGATCAAATATACCTCATTATACACCAAAGGCGTGCCATCAGGAAGCTTCCCGGTCTCTTTTATATGCTTCATCTCGGTGGTGATGCCGCAGTTAGGGCGTGCCGTGCCTGTAGCCCCATATCCAAGCTGCCGAAGAAGGCGGAAGAGCTGCGGCGATGAGAAGAGGTTATCTGTGAAGACGTGATGTGTCTGCGTTGACAGCCTTTTCAGTAGGTGGACTACGACGCTCTGTGTATTGCTGAGGGGGACCTCGGTCCGTAGCTTTCCCTTCTTGCCGTACGGCTTTGGTATAGGTAGCTCGACCGTCACAGCCGTATATGGTGATGACTTCACATGCCAAAGCCACTGCAGAAAGAAGCCCTGTTGCGCAATAACCCAGACTTTAAAGCCCACCGGCGTGGGCTTTCCCTTGACGAGCGTTGTCTCTTTCGATCTGCCTGTAAACGGGACCATGCACTCATCTACAGTCAGATTAGTCCCTGGAAGATAGAGCTCGATAGACACCTTTTGTATGTGATTAGACCACTCTTCAGCCGCTTGGAAGGTCTTTGGAAGATCACTCTCATCCCTCACATCGAGCTTGGTGTAGTCAAAAGTGCGGAAATACCGTGTGATCAGCTCGAACTTCCGTAACGGCATGAACTTGATGATTGAGTGAAGAGGGCGCTGATCTCCTAGGCTAGGGGCCTTCCAATGGTCCTTGAGGGATATTTCCCTATGAATTCCTAGGTAAATAAGGACCCCAAGCCATACATAAGCTGTTGCAGTAGAGATGCCTTCCCACTTAAGAATGCGGGACTGTTCGGAAAGGGGGGTATTCCAGCTGTCAATAACGGCATTTTCGAGCAAGTGAGCGACCCAGCTGTTGGTGTATTCAATCCATGACTGTACAAGGGAAATAGGTATAAAAAGCTGGAATAATTCAAGTGGTTCCTTGGGCAGAGGGTTGATCCTGAAATCACGATATTCTAGGTTGAAAGGTTGAAAATCATCGCCGCGGCCCTCTTCGGGCGGAAGGTTAGGCACGCCGGTGGGGTCATTAGCTGCTGCCTTTGAAGGCGGGGTATTAAAGCTGTTATCATCTATGTAATCTTGTATCTTTTGAGAGCTCATCGTTTTATTTGAGACTTATTAGGGTCAATTTGTATGAGGATTTTGATGATTTTGGTGGTGTTGATCGAAGAAGCTGTCTGACGGGAACTTTACGTAGCCCGCAGGTACCTGCAAAATTAGTCAGTAAAGTGGGGCTAGTGACATGTTTGAGGCCTTGTGCCGCTCAAAGAGATA